GAATGACAAATATTAATGTTCCTGAAAACTTATCTTGATAATCTCCATATCTCATCAATCTGTCTGGTATGACATCCTCAGATATTAATTCCAAAGTGAAGTGTCTATAGACGAAAGAAAAGTTTTTGCAAATACAAGTTCCGAGATTCTGAGACATCTGCGATAGTTTACATTGTTCCTGTAATTTCCTAAAACAAACTTGGATTACTATTGATATGCTCTGTCGTTTGCTTCATATAATATTCATCTCATTTATCTATCTGGAAAGACATCCACTGATGAAGAATTCCAAACTGAAGTGTCCTACATACCAATATAGAATTTCTTCTAGATTCTGGAATAATTTGCATTGTTCCTGAAAAAAACTGGAATTAGTATCATGTTTTTCAAATTGCGCTATATTCAATTCATTATAATTCACATGTATATTATAGAAGGCAACATAGTTCCACCCTTCTAAGAGCACTGCTCCATCTAAACAACGACTGTTGCTTTCCTATTGTGCATGAATAATTTGGAAAAAATTGGTATAAAACCACTGTTTATACCTAACTCTTGAAGGCGACACCCTCCTTTGTAGAGAGGCATTACGAACGCCAAAGTTGATACACTCCCCTCGTAAGGGTACCTGACGTGATTCCATACACTCACATACATGAATGTCGATTAATTTCTCGACTGAATGAAATATTTAATAAACCGATAAAAGTCGTATTTTTACGTAGAAATGTTCTGAGAAGAATAGAACTATGATAAGTATCTGACGAATGACAGATATTGATGTTCCTGAAAACTTATCTTGATAATCTCCATATTTCATCAATCTGTCTGGTACGACATCCACAGATATGGAGTTCCAAAGTGAAGTGTCCTATAGACGAATGAAAAGTTTTTGCAAATACAGGTTCCGAGATTCTGAGACATCTGCGATAGTTTACATTATTCCTGTAATTTCCTAAAACAAACTTGGATTACTATTGATATGCTCTGTCGTTTGCTTCATATAATATTCATCTCATTTATCTATCTGGAAAGGCATCCACTGATGAAGTATTCCAAACTGAAGTGTCCTACAAACCAATATGGAATTTCTTCTAGATTATGGAATTCCTTCTAGATTCTGGAATAATTTGCATTGTTCCTGAAAAAAACTGGTATTAGTATCATGTTTTTCTAATTGCAATATATTTTATTCATTATAAATCACATGTATATTATAGATGGAAACATGGTTCCACCCTTCTAAGAGCACTGCTCCATCTAAACAACGACTGTTGCTTTCCTATTGTGCATGAATAATTTGGAAAAAATTGGTATAAAACCACTGTTTATACCTAACTCTTGAAGGCGACACCCTCCTTTGTAGAGAGGCATTACGAACGCCAAAGTTGATACACTCCCCTCGTAAGGGTACCTGACGTGATTCCATACACTCACATACATGAATGTCGATTATTTTTTCGACTGAATGAAATATTTAATAAACCGATAAACGTCGTATTTTTACGCAGAAATGTTCTGAGAAGAATAGAACTATGATAAGTATTTGACGAATGACGAATATTAATGTTCCTGAGGACTTATCTTGATAATCTCCATATTTCATCAATCTGTCTGGTATGACATCCACAGATATTGAGTTCCAAAGTGAAGTGTCCTATAGACGAATGAAACGTTTTTGCAAATACAAGTTCTGAGGTTCTGAGACATCTGCGATAGTTAACATTGTTCCTGTAATTTCCTAAAACAAACTGGGATTACTATTGTTATGCTCTGTTGGTTGCTTCATATAATATTCATCTTATTCATCTATCTGGATAGGCATCCGCTGATGATGAATTCCAAACTGAAGTGTTCTACAAACCAATATGGAATTTCTTCTAGATTCTGGAATAATTTGCATTGTTCCTGAAAAAAACTGGAATTAGTATCATGTTTTTCAAATCTCACTATATTAAATTCTTTATAATTCACATGTATATTATAGAAGGAAATATGGTTCCACCCTCGGTTCCACCCTTCTAAGAGCACTGCTCCATCTAAACAACGACTGTTGCTTTCCTATTGTGCATGAATAATTTGGAAAAAATTGGTATAAAACCACTGTTTATACCTAACTCTTGAAGGCGACACCCTCCTTTGTAGAGAGGCATTACGAACGCCAAAGTTGATACACTCCCCTCGTAAGGGTACCTGACGTGATTCCATACACTCACAAACATGAATGTCGATTAATTTTTCGACTGAATGAAATATTTAATAAACCGATAAAAGTCGTATTTTTACGAAGAAATGTTCTGAGAAGAATAGAACTATGATAAGTATTTGACGAATGACAAATATTAATGTTCCTGAAAACTTATCTTGATAATCTCCATATTTCATCAATCTGTCTGGTATGACATCCTCAGATATTGAGTTCCAAAGTGAAGTGTCCTATAGACGAATGAAAAGTTTTTGCAAATACAAGTTCCGAGATTCTGAGACATCTGCGATAGTTCACATTGTTCCTGTAATTTCCTAAAACAAACTTGGATTACTATTGATATGCTCTGTCGTTTGCTTCATATGATATTCATCCCATTTATCTATCTGGAAAGGCATCCACTGATGAAGAATTCCAAACTGAAGTGTCCTACAAACCAACATGGAATTTCTTCTAGATTATGGAATTTCTTCTAGATTCTGGAATTATTTGCATTGTTCCTGAAAAAAACTGGTATTAGTATCATGTTTTCCTAATTGCGATATTTAATTCATTATGATTCACATGCATATTATAGAAGGAAACATGGTTCCACTCTTCTAAGAGCACTGCTCTATCTAAACAACGACTGTTGCTTTCCTATTGTGCATGAATAATTTGGAAAAAATTGGTATAAGACCACTGTTTATACCTAACTCTTGAAGGCGACACCCTCCTTTGTAGAGAGGCATTACGAACGCCAAAGTTGATACACTCCCCTCGTAAGGGTACCTGACGTGATCCCATACCCTCACATACATGAAAGTCGATTAATTTTTCGACTGAATGAAATATTTAATAAACAGATAAAAGTCGTATTTTCACGAAGAAATGTTCAGAGAAGAATAGAAGATAAGTATTTGACGAATGACAAAAATTAATGTTCCTGGAAACTTATCTTGATAATCTCCATATCTCATCAATCTGTCTGGTATGACATACTCAGATATTAATTCCAAAGTGAAGTGTCTATAGACGAAAGAAAAGTTTCTGCAAATACAAGTTCCGAGATTCTGAGACATCTGCGATAGTTTACATTGTTCCTGTAATTTCCTAAAACAAACTTGGATTACTATTGATATGCTCTGTCGTTTGCTTCATATAATATTCATCTCATTTATCTATCTGGAAAGGCATCCACTGATGAAGAATTCCAAACTGAAGTGTCCTACAAACCAATATGGAATTTCTTCTAGATTATGGAATTTCTTCTAGATTCTGGAATAATTTGCATTGTTCCTGAAAAAAACTGGTATTAGTATCATGTTTTTCTAATTGCGATATTTAATTCATTATAATTCACATGTATATTATAGAAGGAAACATGGTTCCACCCTTCTAAGAGCACTGCTCCATCTAAACAACGACTGTTGCTTTCCTATTGTGCATGAATAATTTGGAAAAAATTGGTATAAAACCACTGTTTATACCTAACTCTTGAAGGCGACACCCTCCTCTGTAGAGAGGCATTACGAACGCCAAAGTTGATACACTCCCCTCGTAAGGGTACCTGACGTGATTCCATACACTCACATACATGAATGTCGATTAATTTTTCGACTGAATGAAATATTTAATAAACCGATAAAAGTCGTATTTTTACGAAGAAATGTTCTGAGAAGAATAGAACTATGATAAGTATTTGACGAATGACAAATATTGATGTTCCTGAAAACTTATCTTGATAATCTCCATATTTCATCAATCTGTCTGGTATGACATCCACAGATATTGAGTTCCAAAGTGAAGTGTCCTATGGACGAATGAAAAGTTTCTGCAAATACAGGTTCCGAGATTCTGAGACATCTGCGATAGTTTACATTGTTCTTGTAATTTCCTAAAATAAACTTGGATTACTATTGATATGCTTTGTCGTTTGCTTCATATAATATTCATCTCATTTATCTATCTGGAAAGGCATCCACTGATGAAGAATTCCAAACTGAAGTGTCCTACAAACCAATATGGAATTTCTTCTAGATTATGGAATTTCTTCAAGATTCTGGAATAATTCACATTGTTCCTGAAAAAACTATTAGTTAGGCATTTACGAACGTCAAAGTTGATACTCTCCCCCCGTGAGGGTACCTGACGTAATTCCATACACTCACATACATGAATGTCGACAAAGTTCTCGACTGTTTGAATGAAATATTTAGTGAGCCGATCAAAGTCATTTTATCATGAAATGTTCGAAAAAGAGAAGTATCATGATCTGTATTCAAGGAATGACAAATTAATGTTCATGAAATTTTATCTTAGAATTCCCCATATTTCATTAATTTTTCTGGAATGGCAACCAAAGCTGTAGTTTTCTGAAGTGAAGTGTCCTACAGACGATTATGAGAAGTTCTTGGAAATGCAGGTTGTGAGATTCTGAGACATCTGGGACAGTTTGTTTTGTTCTTCTAGTTGAGCAATCTGTCTGGAATGGCATTTACAGATGTAATATTCGACTATAAGTTTCCAGTTATAATATATACAATTTTTAGAGTTTCTGTTCTATGAAAAATATAATTTGTTCAATCACTTCGGGGTTGTAGTTTTTGTGATAATATTCTGCTCCACTTGACTTATCTGATCTAGGTACCATACTACAGATGTTCGAAATGTTCTCCAAATCTAGTTATAATGGGTCACCTTATTTGGCCTGCATATGTTATTTGCACATCGTTACAACCAATTTGCAATTGTCTAATGATCAACCCCGCTGAAGGGCTTTAGAAAAAAAACCGAACCACCCTTTTCATTCCAGGAAGGGGAAAACAACGAGAAATTCGACTCTCACCCCCGCCACCCTAGTGCATTACCCGCCTACCTCCTGGTCCATAACTCGTGGTACTACACCTTCGACCTGGTGTTCTCCCTGGTACTGCTGCTGCTGGCTCTCGTGGAGAAGCCGGCTCTGGAGGACGCCGAATTCCCTGTGGGGCTGCACGGAACGCTAGAGTTGGTCGCCTTGGGGGTGATCGGAGTAGAGTTGGCGCTGAAGCTGCGCTGGATCGGCTGGACGACCATTTTGAGGCACAAAAGGACGATGGTCAAGGTTAGTGGATGGGATTTGACAGTGTAATGGATGAATAGAGAGCAAATAACTTCAAAAACTCAGAGGACCATGATCTGCAGGTGTTCAGGCGTTACCTTGTCTCAATTCAAGTAGTGCATAAGAATTTTGAAAAAGGTATATCTGGTATAAAACCACTGTTTATACCTAACTCTTGAAGGCGAACTTTGTAGAAACTTCGTAGAAAGGCATTACGAATGCCACAGTTGATACACTCCCCTCTCAAGGGTACCTGGCGTGATTCCATACACTCACTTACATGAATACCGACTAATATTCCGACTGTTTGATTGAAATATTCAGTAAATCGATAAAAGTGTAAAAGATATGTTTAGGCATTACCTTATCTCAATTCAAGCAGTGATGTGATAGGGGTTGTCTGAAAAGCGTTTGAACACAGTTAAAACATATGAAACTCCTGTAAAACGACATATTTGCCATCTATGAATGTTAATTATTCAATATCCCTCTTCAACTACCTTGAATTTGTAATTTGTTTGCCAAAACCGACTCTGGAAGATGCCGAATTCCCTATGGAATTTGACAGTTTTTGTATTTGTAGTGTAGTTTGTTTTATGCATTGAAAAACAGTGAGTGAAAAACTCCAAAAACACACAGAGGAACGTGGTTTGCTGGTGTTCAGGCTTTACCTTGTCTCAATGCAAGCAGTGATTTGGTAGGGGTTGTGTAAAAGTATCAGAACACATGAAACACCTATTAATGTCAATTAACTAATATCCTTCAACTTCATCGAATTCGTGAATTGTTTTGCCTAATAGAGATTTCAAAACTACTTATTCACACCGAAAACATACGACAATTATATGTTTTTCACCTCTATTTCAGAAATTCCAATAGAGATAGCAGCAACACTGCTTCTTTTATTCAATTTGGAAGCTTATGATGAAATGAAATGTCTCTCAGTAACAGAAAAATATTTTGAAAAATCCTCGGACAGGTTGATTTTAATTTTTGAAATTTTTTTTTTCATCAACTTTGCAAACCACCTGTCAACATTCTGAGTTTCAGATGAATTATGTACATCAACTTTTTTAATGCAGGTGAATTTACTCTATCAGTTTTACAATGAAACAGTACCTACCATTACCAATAATTTGGACTAAAACTCTAATAAATTTTGTATTTTTCGACTGCTCTCTGGTTATGGCTCAACCAAATAGAAAAAATATTATGCTGACCCCTTGTACAATTTAAAAATTTTTGATGGGTTGATTCGTGGGGTAGTAGATTAAGCATACTGCTTTCAACACAATATTTATAGGTACTTGAAATGTTACAACATGAAAAGAAAAATTCGTATGTACAAACTTACGGATAATATCTAGGGTCAGATTAATGAATGAATGACTTTTTCGAAATAGAGGCCACAGGCTTACTGAAAATATCGTCAATGGGGGCTTTTTCAATAACCGGACAATATTATAACCTGTAAAATAAATTCAAAGAGCTTAAAGTCATTTCCACACAATGTTCATGAAATGAACAACAATGGTAGATTTCGGGAGGAAAACAACTACTTTCCCACTTCCGATTGTACAAGGGGTTAGCATTTTTTTTTATTTGGTTGAGCCATAACCGCAAAGAGCAGTCGAAAAATACAAAATTCATTAGAGTTTTAGTCCAAATTATTGGTAATGGTAGGTACTGTTTCATTGTAATACTGGTAAAGTAAATTCACCTGCATTTAAGAAGTTTGATGTAGTCTATCTGAAAGGCAGAATGTTGACAGGTGGTTGACAAATTTTAGGGAAAAAAAGAGATTTCCAAAAATTGCTTTCGACCTGTACGAGGATTTTCCGAAATATATTTCTGTTACAGGGGCAGATTTCATTTCATCATTAACTTCCAAATTGAATAAAAGAAGCAGTGTTGCTGCTATCGCTATCGAAAGTTCTGAAATAGAGGTGAAAAACATATAATTGCCGTATGTTTTTGGTGTGAATAAGTAGTTTTATTTACAATCATATATGTAATGTTGTCATTACTCACGACAGGAATGAATCACTTCCTTCCTCGGTGTGTAATATACTATTAAAATCCCTATTTGTCAAAACAATTCACGAATTCGAAGAAGTTGAAGAAGAATATTAATTGATTGACATTTTTATAGAAGACAGGAGTTTCATGTGATCTGATACTTTCACACAACCCCTACCCTGTATTTGTTCGCCAGTGTGTGACGCTATCGATCATGGTGGTGGAAGCCATAACAGTCCTCATAAGGCAATCCTCCCACTTCCGGGCAACCAGAGCCCTACGCCCAATATTCCTTGTGGACACCAGGGCGTGCGGGGCGGTGAGGCGTTACATCCGGCAGATCCTGCAGTCGCTGCCGCCCATCCTGGACATGCTGGGTCTGCTGATGTTCTTCGTGTGCAGCTACGCCCTGCTGGGCTATTTCCTGTTCAGCGGTCACGAGACCAATTTGTACTTCAGGACGTTGGGGGATAGTTTCGTCAGCATGTTCGTGCTGCTGACTACTGCCAAGTGAGTATCGAGAGTCGTATGGTCGATATACAGGGTGTCCCATTTTCTCGCTTATATTTTGAGATATACCGGGTGACACGGGGTATCGGGCCACCCCTGTAACTTATACAGGGTGTATCTAGATAACATACAAAAATAATCAGCCTAGTTTCAAGCCCACTAATGGAAATGGGGAGTGACAAAATACTGCCTACAAATAACTATTACAGACCCTTCAACACTCAGCTCTACTGGGATGAGATGCTCTTGACTAACTGTCAGGAAGGCACGTTAGTTGTGGTACACTGACGGATCTAAGACTGATGAGGGTACGGGAGCCGGAATATATGGAGATAGACCCAGAACTAGGATTTGTGCTTCCTTGGGGAGGTATGCTTCAGTATTCCAGGCAGAGGTGCATGCTATTGAGGCATGTCTGAGAGAGAATATCGTTAGAGGATACATAGGTAAACCAATCCTCATATGCTCAGATAGTTAGGTGCTTATTCAATCTTTAACATGCATTAAAATCAGATCAAGACTGGTCTGGGATTGCCTTCAAAGCCTTCAAAGCCTGCTAACCCTGGCTAATCACAACAAGGTAACTCTTCAATGAGTGCCAGGGCATTAGGGAATTGAAGGCAATGAAGCAGCTGACGCTCTTGCTAGGCAAGGGTCTGCGGCGTTGTTTATGGGACCGGAACCTGTGTTCGGTATCCCCAAAACCTCAATACGCGGTGGCTGGCATGGTGGATGCAAGAAAGACATCAGGCATACTGGAACAATGTCCCAGGACAAAGACACAGTAAACTGATGGTTGGAACACTATCCAGAACAGTGACTAACGACATTCTGAGCCTAAACAGAAGTCAGATCAGACAAGTGACGGGACTAATAACCGGTGACTGCCCCTCGACTGCATCAAATGAGCATCTATACAGACTAACCCATATGCAGACTATGCAATGAGGAGGAGGTAACTGCCACCTATGTTATATTGGAGTGCAAAGCACTAGCGCGTTGGAGATACAACTTTCTGGTAGCATTAAACTCTCAAGAGGCTTTTCCAACGAATGATTTGGTTCACCTGAGTCAACAGCATGATCAGGAATACAATAGGCTGCAGTGTTTTGGACCTCGAACCCTGTCTGATCATTCTGCAATGAATCAATCTAAATAACACCGAAAAAATTCAAGGGGTGTTTCCTTGTGACATTCTAGCAAATAAAGTTCATATAAACATGTGTCATAACTTGCTCCGTTTTTGAGATACAGGATGTTGAAGTTCGAAGTATTAATTGGTTTTATTTATAACCCCCTTATGTAAGCTTTCATGGTGCCAAAATTCACTATAGATGGAGACTAAGAAAGCCACAAAATTTCAAAATGATTCTTATTGGGGTTATTGAATGGTCTCAAAGGAAGTCTTGAAAACACCTACAATAAAGTTTGTAGTTAAATCGCATTCTTATTGTTTCCTCAAAAACTAAGATAGATACAAAATCACACAGAGGATAAAAAAGTTGTTATTTCAATAGTTTAATCTATTCAAAATATGAAACTCGGTGGTGTACCATTCACCATGAATATCGATAAATTTACGCACTGTGACGCCACTGGAAATATTATTTTCGAATCTAATTGCACCAGAAGAAGCTCCATATTACTATTAACAAAACCACAACGTTTTATTGAAATTGACAAAAAGACAAATGAGAAATAAATACAAAAAATATTTTTCATGGAAATATTAATACCCTGTATCTCGAAAACGAAGCAAGTGTTTATATGGAATTTATTTCCTAAAATATCACAAGGAATCAACCCTTGAATTTTTTCGGTGCTATTTAGATACACCCTGATTTGATCACATTACAATTTTTTTTCAAATGCAAAACCCTGTATATTTTTACATGTTATAGTTGAACAGGTCAAAACAGGTGCAACCTTCATGCCATATGTAATTTTTTCGAAAATATTGAAATTGTTCTTTTAGATGTGGTAAGGCTATTCCCAGATAGATAAACATATTTTTTTATGCAATGGACTCAAAATTCGTCTATTTTTTTCTCTAAATTGACTCTTGAAGTTGACGTTTCTCTTACTGGCACAACATGTATGTTGCTAGGCAGCGCTTTTAGTGTCTAGGAGCTAAAGTTGAAATTGAACTCCTAGGAACTAAAAGTGTGACTGCTTATAGCTGCTTTGACACTGACATGCTCAAGTGAGTCAAAATAGTGGTAACTTCACTTATATTTTATTAATAAGTGGCGTAGTAAGATTTTTGAAATGAGCATTTCAATAATATACTATTGCATCAACTCCCTATTGCTAATTAAGTAGAACCTCTAACTCAAATTGTACTCTTCACTGTATTTACTGACAATCAAAAAACAACTTTTTCTCTTTTCAGTTTCCCTGATGTGATGATGCCATCATATGCAATATCTAAATGGACTGCTGTCTTCTTCATATCATACATTTCAACTGTACTTTATGTTCTCATGAATTTGGTGAGCTACCATCGATCTATACCTTTTCGAACTTTATTTGACCATTTTATCTTATTTATTCCGCAGATGCTCGCCGTAGTTTATGAAACTTTCACAGGGATTGAAAAAGAGAAGTTCAGGAAACTTCTCTTGCATAAAAGACAAGCCTGTAAGCTGGCATTCAGACTTCTAGTGAGCAAACAGGCTCCAGATAATGTGAGATTCAGACAGTTCCATGGGATGATGAGATATTACTCTCCACAAACTAGTAAGATTTGTCATAAAATATGCCGGTTATTGGGTGTGGGACATTTCTAGGTTGATAAACCCATTCATATCTCATAATTTATTTCTGTCTACGTTATTTTCAAGTTGATTATTCCGGGGTAAATACAAAAGCGATAATTCTTTTATCCATAAATACATTAATGTACAGTGTGTCCAGTTTTCGATGCTTTTGCCTGATATCTCAGTTATTTTTGGAGATAGAACCTTGCGGTTTTCGCGGCCCTGTGCCACTTTTTTGTGAAACTCAAGATGGCCTAATCAGATTTTGCAAGACTGTTTCCGTTTATGAGATACAGGGCGATTTTGAAAATTTATACTTTTTGGACCACGAAGTTTCTCAACAAAAATGTCAAATCAAAATCTCATCGCATAGAGAATTTCACGCATAATCCAGTGACGCACTTAAATTTTTTTTTCGGGGTATGGTTTTGGAGACTCAAACTTATGATTTTTTTTAAATGGAACACCCTGTATTTCATAAGCTCATTAAATTCCTTATTTTTTTGTCTTCAAAATGATATATAACGAATGAATATAAAATTCTCAAAATTGCTCAAAATCACTAAAATATTGAATTTCGATAGTTGGTTATGGATTTTTCTTATGAAAAACGTTCCAATTGAAGAAATATTTCTTTAAATTTTTCCATGGAGAGGTCAAAACCAATATCAACACTTATTAATTAACAAAACACTAAACTTGGGTACCTGATAGCAACAACTAAATAGTAATAAAAAGTTCATAATGTAGAATAAGCACGACCTGATTAAATATTTACTAAAATAATTGAATTCCGGAATTCTTCAGTAACTTATTCATTGACATGTTCAAATTGATATCCATTTTCCCCAACATACAGTTGACAAACTTTCTCAATACTTATTAATACAGTAAGTGGCCCAACATACTTGAAGAACTTTGTGCAAGAACAGAGGCAGTTTTCCAGGAATTACAAAGACATTTTTCAATGATTAATATGTATTGAGAAAGTTTGTGATGAAAAACGGACATCAATTTGAACAATTCAATGAATAAATCACTGAATAATTTCGAAATTCAATTGTTTTAGTAAATATTCAATCAGGTGCTTATTCTACATTATAAACTTTTCATTACTATATATTTGTGGATATCAGGTATCTGAGTCTTGTGTATTGCAAGTTAATTAGTGTTGAAATTGATATTTCCCCCTTCATGGAACAATCAAAGGAAATATTCCTTCAATTGTTAATTTCTTTATATGAAAATCCCTCGAAAAACCCATAGCCCACTATTAAAATTCAATGTTTTAGTGATTTTTTAACATTTTTGAAGATGTTATATTCATACATCATATATCATTTCGAAGGGACAAAAATAAGGAATTTAATGAGCCTATAAAATACAGGGTGTTCAATTTGAAAAATCATTAGTTTGTCGTATTTTCAGAACCACACCCCGAAAAAAAAAATTTTGTGCGCCACTGAATTCTGCATGAAATTCTCTATGGGTTAAGATTTTAATTTGACATTTTCGCTGATAAACTTCGTAGATATAGAAGGGGTCCAAAAAGTATGAATTTTCAAAATCGCCCTGTATCTCATAAACGGAAACAGTCCTGCAAAATCTGATTAGACCATCTTTAGTTTCACAAAAAAGTGGCACAGGACCGCGAAAACCGCAAGGTTCTATCTCCAAAGATAACTGAGATATCATGCAAAAGCATCGAAAACTGGACACACTGTACATTGTACGAAAGTTTTATTGTCATGGCAAACAATTGAGAATTAAGGGAGTGAGAAAATCGCGAGAGTAGGTATGCTCGAGCGATTTTTTTTACTTTTCTTGATTTGACATTTCTTGCCAAATGACAATATAATAATTCGAATCCAATTTGAAATGTACTTATCATTATGTACTACCGCAAGTGATACTATTTTGCCGGAAATATTTGGCGATTGTTACAACATCTTGTTGCCTAGTTATTTCGCGAATGACTGTTTTACCAAAACTATCGAGCCGTAGGCGGGAAGTTCACGTCGAGCTTCCTCAGTGTTTGAAATATTTGCACTTATTTCAATGCCACCCTGTATACAGGGTGAGTCATTACGGTTGGGACATAGGCTGAGGGCGGATTGTTTGGACCAAAATATGGCGATAGGACTAAATATGCCTTTATAGAATATTGCTGTGGAAAAAGATACAGGGCGTTGAAGTTGACTTTTCATTTTCGTTTTTTGCCAATAATTTCACTGTATATTCATCAATTGTTATCAAAATTGGCACAGAGGCATAATTTCATACAGGGAATATTATTTTATGTTTTATTCTACAATTTGATACAGGGGGCGCCACGTGAATGATCTCTGATGATGAAATCGCCTGGTTAATTTGTTTTGGCGAAACTTCTGAGTGATTTTGATTGAAAAATATGACCTGAACATTATTTCTACGTAATATTGGTACTCCTGTTTGAACACGATATTTTCATCCGTTTTCGAGAAAAACGCTATTGAACAGTTCAGAGTCTCAGAAGTTAATTACAAATTTTATTTCATTCATGAAGAGTGTGCTTTGAACTGTCAGCTAGATAATGTTGCTGGTAATGGCATTTCTTGTCAGAGAATGAATTTTTGTGCGAGTTTGAAGTCAAATTTTTTTCGATTGAAATGCCTCCTCACAATCATTTTATGAATGAATAATTGCGGTATGCAGCCAGAAGGTATGAATCGTAATATCTCTAATATTTAGGCAGAAAGCAACCAAATCACGAAACTTCTTCAAATATATTTCATATACAGTGAAATTATTAGCATTTATTAGCAAAAAACCGACAGAAAACGAAAAAAATCAACTTTAACGCCCTGTATCTCTTTTCAAAGCAATATTATATTATGGCATGTTTGGTCCAATCGCCATATTTTGGTCCAAACAATCCGCCCTCAGCCTATGTCCCAATAGTTATGACTCACCCTGTATATCACAAGGTACGACACATTTTTTAAATATTTTATCTGATGGCATGTCATAATGACAACGTTATGTCAATCAATTTTGATGACATAAGGAAGCTCATTATGGGACTAAGTACCATAATGAAATTCGATTAGGAAAACATGTAATGGTTTGATCAAAAAAGTTTATTCAAAATGCATAACTATGTACAAAACTATTTATTATAAATGGTAAAAGAACAATTACTACAATTTGTAATATTAATATAATGGCAAAGCACTGCTCACTCACCTACTAATATTTGAAACTACACAATACTTACTCCTTTAAAAATAGTTGTCATTGTGACATGTCGAAAATGCAGTTTTTAATTTTTTGAAAATGTATTGATATAAATGCCATCAGATAAAATTTTGTATGTAATACGAATCATAAACAATCGTTATGGCACACGCCGTGTTATCGGACTCGGCTACGCCTCGCCCGATAACATTCACGACTTGTACCATAATGATCGTCTTTATGATCCTTATTACATAAATAACTATTATGAGTCAACTAGAAATATGATTTTCTTGTGATTTGTCCATATTTAGTGAAAAGAAGGAAGAATATCATTTAAAATGATGGCGGCGAGTGTAATGTCATTCAAAAGCAGTCTGATGACATTTGACATCTCGTATTTGGATTGACTATTGATTAAATGGCCGTCATCTGGTATGCTTTTTCACTAAATATGAAAAACACGCCATAAAAATCATATTTCCTCTTGAATGTGTCATTGAAGTACATCATGAGTAGGTATATAAAGAGTTCAATGACAAAATAAACAGAGCAAGTGCTAGTAAAAGCATCCAACACAAGGGGAAAAAGAAGGCGAAATTTCGAACTTTTTCTTGAAATGTAAATAGTGGTTTGGTCACATTTGCATTATCAGATTCGAGTTTTTCAGACAAAAATAGTGAGTACCAACAAAAATTTTCGAAAAAAAACCAATCGCATGATAAGTGCAGTTTTACCGCAATTTTAATAAACTCCCTTGTGGTTTTGAAATAATTTTCTAATACCTACAACTTCACTAACAACTATAAAGAAAAAACACTCACCTGACATTAAGATACCATCATTTGTCTCTCCATTTTCCATAGTAATCACGATAGTAATACACCAAATTAACACACATTTTACACTCTCATAGCACAATAATCAATAATATCTGTCTTCGATATTTGAGAAATTTAGATTTTTTTTAAGACTTAAGCACCGCACGATCGCGAGGTAACCACTAGACTGAGACTGAAGTAAGGAATTCGAATAAATTGAAATGATTCACTATTTCTTTCCGGTTTCATACAATGCGTAAGCGATAAGCACCCCTGATTCATCCCTTTTATCGAACTTATTAACACGTGAGATATTTCGTGTGTGACAAAATAGCCCAATTAGAACATACACAGGGTGTAAAGTAGAAATAATGCATTGAAAAGGAATATTCTCAGATAAATTATGAACATGAAAAACTACAGGATATACAGGGTATTATCTCTATATCGAGAATCAGTTGGGAGGAATCCATGAAAATATGCATGTTCTTTCCATTTAAAATATGTTCAGCAATGCAGTATTGCCACTTCTTTCAATAAGTAGCAACTACTTTGTTATTCCAAATAGAATACCCTGTATTTTATTGCATTTTCAGATTCTCCATAAATAGCTGATTCCATCGATACATCACACATCAGAAATGATATAGGGTGTTCAAAATCGAGATTTTTCAACTTTAGAATTTGTTTGTGTCGAAACTATTCAGTAACAGCCAAAACGGCTCACTTTTTATTTACTATTTACGGATATTCAATCGGAACAGATACAGGGTGATCAGAATTATGTATCTGTTCAGAATAAATATCAGTAAATTGTGCATCAAAAGTGGAGACAGAGAGATGTGGGCCGTTTTGACCGATAATGAATAGTTTCGACACAAAAAAAAATCCTAAAGTTGAAAAATATCGATTTTGAACACCCTATATCTAGAAATGCGATAAAATACAGGCTGTTCCATTTGAAATATCAATGTTGCTACTACTTTCTAGTAGAAGCGAAAATATTTCAAATGAGGACAGCGTATTCTAAAATAAAAGCATGCACATTTTCCTGGATTTCTCCAGACTGAGTCTCGATATGAAGTTAGTGTAAGCTCGTCGTGAAATACCCTGTATATATATAAGAAGAATAACATTGAGAATTCGCATTCTCTGTGTGATGAAAATATCAATTCTTTCTCGGTTTATTCAACAGAAAACAACTACTTTCTTGGTTATATGCCATGACGAACACTGAATTATATCTATTAAACACACACGATAAGAATTTGAAAACAAAATCTTCGGAAGTTGAGAATTTGCATTCTCCTTCAGATGATAATATAGACACATATTATTAGAAAATCGAAGAAATCACATTGGTTCTTAAAATAGGCATTAGGCGTGTATTAAATAGGTGAAGCCTTCATTACATATCTATTTGTTACAATTTTGATAAACTTCCTTGTGGTTTTGTATTCATTTTCTACCTAACAACTATAAAGAAAAAACACTCACCTGACTTAAAGATAAAATCATTTGTCTCTCCATTTTCCACCACCACTATACACCAAAATAACACACACTTTACACTCTCATAGCACAATAGTCAATATCTGTCTTCAAATATTTGAGATTTTTCGATTTTTTTTAAACACTAGCACCGCACCATCGCGAGGCAACCACTAGACTGAGACTGAAGTAAGGAATTTGAATAAATTGAAATGATTCACTATTTCTTCCCGGTTTCGTACAATGCGATAAGCGATAAGCACCCATGATTCATCCCTTTTTATCGAACTTATTAACACGTGAGATATTTCGTGTGTGACGAATCAGCCCAATAAGAACATACACAGGGTGTAAAGTAAAAATAATGCATTGAAAAGGAATGTTCTCAGATGAATTATGAACGTGAAAAAATTGATATACAGGGTATTATCTCGATATCGAGAATCAGTCGAGAGAAATCTATGAAAATATGCATGCTTATATTTCAGAATACGCTCTTTCCTTTCAAAATATGTTCAGCAATGCAGTGTTGCCGCTTCTATCAAAAAGTAGCAACAACTTCGTTATTTCAAATAGAATACACTGTATTTTATTGCATTTCTAGATTCTCCCTGAAGAGCTTATTCCATCGATACATCACACTTGGGGTCTATCGGAAATGAGATATAGGGTGTTCAAAATCGAGATTTTTCAACTGTAGGATTTGTTTGTGTCGAAACTATTCATTACCGGCTATTTTTTTGTTTTTTGAAGTTCAATGAGAGACGAATGAAGCATTATAGCAGAATCTACGGGGTGGATGGAAGCATATAACAAATTGACATTCTTTAATGAAAGGTTCAAGGGTGTCTGGCAAGGGACAAATGGATGACGTGGTTTCCAATATTATCAACAGAAGAAACACAAGAGCTTTTCTTTTATCGGATAAATTTCTGTTTGTAACGAAAATCATTTGCCGATCAGTAATTTTACGAGAAAAACTGACATGAAAAAATTGCGAGACCGTGGGTCGAGCAATTTTGTTTAATGTCAGTTTTTCGAGACAAATTCCTGATGGAAAATATTTGAGTTATTAAGGAAATTTATCCAATTAAAAAAAAGGTTCGAGTGTTTTTTTGGCAAGATAAATCAACGACAATATACAAATAAACAACAATAATGATTACCCTTACTGATGATTTCGTGTAACTGGTACTTTGCGGATTGATTTTCTTATATTTTTGTGGTTTCTTCAGACAAAATTTTCCTAAAACGGCTCATCTCAATCATTCTTAACACGACAGAAATTTGAGTGACATCAGGCGCAAATACCTACTAGATCAAAGGAGTTGATTTATCCCGAATAAAATATAAGAAAATCTCTCAATAGTATGACGAAAGTAAGTTGGTATTTTCAGCACCTTTGCTCCTTGTAACCTCCCAGAGGCACCATGACCCAAACTTCATATTTGCCCATCGTTCTTACCTATGTTGGGGGCATGTGCTGAGAAACTTTCAGTTTTTATAAAATAACGAAGGTCTGGCGTTCATGAGAGCTTGGACTAAATCATCAATACATATCTCAGATCTGCATACAATATCCCATAAAAAATACCCTGTTTATGTTGTGATGTGCAGATTCAAAAACAAGTCTTCAAATATTTACGGTTTTTATTAATTTTTTTAGAGCTGAGAGATGTTGTACTGATATTCCGCCAACTCAACAAATCCAACTCGGGTCAACTTTCGCAAGATGAATTCCTGAATATTTACGACGGAACAACTTTAAAATGGAGAACGAAAACTCCCATTGACCCTTGGTTTTCCGCGGCTTGGCCCCCTTTGAGAGCCTTGTGCAGATCTTCCAGGATTTTCGTCACGTGGTCTTATTTCGAGCATATCGTCTGTGAGTTTTTGGCGCCAAAATCGGACGTGATGATATCCTGATACGGTTTTCTTTTCAGATTTGCTGATTGTTTCCAACGGTTTGGCGATGTTGGTGAGAGTTTTGCAGGATTGCGCAACACTGGAAGAAGGAGCGAAGAATTTTGCGGCCTCATGGGATTCTTATCTGTTTTTGATACGTGAGTAGCGTTTCTAAAATAATAGCAGTGCTGTAAAATATGTCAGTTTGAATTGTCAATTCTTTTGCCCATCAAATAAAAATGTACGTTGGTATGTATGTCTGATGATGGCCTCTGACCGAAACTAGTAACAATAATTCTTTGAAATTATTTTACTCAACAGGTTTGTATTCAAAATAATCGGCAGATTGCGAAATAATTGTGAGTGTTGTATACTTATATTGAGTTGAGCTATCAATCCATGCATATACTAGTTGTCCACGTAGTGTGGAAAAGCTCTATGACAACATATTTTTAGGGACTTCTAAATTCGAAATATCAGGGATATACAAACTCAATTGGGGATCCTGTCCTAAGGTATATATATATCGGTCAGACAGGTCGTACGTTTAATCAGCGCATTAATGAACATAATATGAATTTTTTGAAAAAGAAAACAAATTCAACATACGCCAACCATACAGTGTCTTTCAAAAGTATCGAAACGGTCTCATATTTCAGGAACGGCTTGAGAAAAATTCACGAAATTTTCTACAGGGTGATTATTGATGATGTCCTATTCAATGGTGGCATCGGCAATGTTGCCAAGTTAACAGTTTTTCAGATATTAGGGGAGTAACTTTATTTTCTCAAATGAAATACCCCATTTATGTTTATTGCAATTAATTAAGCGCCTCCTAATTACTTGAGTCCCTGAATATCAGATTCGTAATTAACGTGATTTTCGAAATATGACAACATGGCCTTTTCGTTCAAAAGTATCTGGGAACCTTCTAATATTTTAAATACGGTTCAAGGAATTTTCGTGAAATTTTATACAAGATGGTTTCTGATGATGCCCGATTCAATGGTGATATCGGCAATGTTGCCAAATCAATACTTTTTCAGATATGCCATGTTGTCATATTTCGACTCGGCCGTTACTTGATATATTTTACCATATATATACTATTATTCAAAGTGTTTCAAATTTCGAGGTATCATTGATCTTTCAAACATTTCATCTGATTAAATCTCTTCTTTCTTAGAAAATTGAATACGCATTTCATCGATTCTGAACACGAAATGGGATCTAATGTGATAAAAACATTTTTTGGCTTGTTAGAATTCAGAAAACGATTCTTGTAACATCCAATTTTAAATTTATGAGCTATGATTTCTCGAAAAGTGTAACACTTTGTATTATAGTATATATGGTCAAATTATAAATGGGACTTGTAAGAAACAGCTACTAACAAAATATTATGCGTATTTACATGGGTTAGATGCGTCTATAGCCTCCCGCTACCAATTTCTGTGTATATATAATCTATTTGACATTTCATATAATCCAAGTACATATCTACTTTTGAAATTACCAATTCAGGTCACTCGCACTCGCTCAGTTACGCATGTCAAATGATTTTATGATTAAGTTCACCTTGAATGGGATTATTTATGAAATCAATCCAAACTTAACTTGTCCCGTATGTAACAGAAACCAAAATGAGACACTCATACACATGCTCTTTGATTGCCCAATATATACTGTTATGAATCAGAATATCCCCTGCCTTCAGAGTGTTGATTCATTGATTGTTGCACTTAAAAATATCACTATAACTCAAGCTAGAACTATTGCTACTTATATTTGGAATATTCTTAAGCTTCGTTCATTCATCCTTACCGAATAACATAATATATATAGCTTGTTATGTTTATTACTATTATGTAATGCACATTATTATCATTAATTTGTATCTGTCTGTGATTCTTTTTTGTTACCTCTTAACTCTCACTCGAATTCATTGCTGTAAACAATATGTTTTCTATACGCAATTAAATATTATTATTATTATTATTATTATATATCGTCAAATTTGTTCAAAATCACATAACCTACCACCTCCTTCCGTATATACGTCGGTGAACCAAACACCCTGTATATGTATTTCTTTTAGAAAAACAATTGTAATGGGTCAATTCTGTTTTTATAGGTATATAAGAAAGATGACTGATTGATATAATTCAATTATATTTACTTTTATACCAAATCCCCGTTTTCAGTGTTTTTGGTGGAAGCACTGTTGAAAATCATTGGCTTAGGATGGACAGAATATATTTCTTCAGGATGGAATGTTTTCGATCTATCAGTCACTCTCTTAGCCTTCGGCGGTGCGTTTTTTCTTACCATGATGCCAAGTTGGACTGCAGTTGTGATTTTGAGACCCCTCAGGTAAAAAAAAAACAATACAAAATCTCCCAATTTTTCCTTATCTCAATTATTTATTTTAGACTTCTTCGCATATTCAAATTGAAGAAAAGATATCGTGATATTTTTGGTACGTTGGTTCTGTTGAGTCCTCTCATGTCTTCCACGGCTGTTGTGATGATGGTTATGTATTATTTTTTTGCCATAATCGGCATGGAACTGTTTTCCCAGTACGATCTGAGGAATTGTTGTGTGTAAGTATTCATTTGAATTAGATTCATGTACAGAATCGTTTTTCATGTATAAAAAGCCTGAGCATTTACTAAACGACCTTCGCATTGTATATTTACCAAAAACCCCCACATTGTATACATTGATGAGTTATTCATCATAAGACGTACAAAAAGTATTCATGGAAAAAACTCATCACGCATTGTATACATTGATTATATATTTTCCCAGTCACAGACATTGAATATATTGATTAATTTACTTACCAAGAAACACTGATATTGTATACATTGGTCAGTTATTATTACTCAAAGGCATTTACGAAAAATCCACCCATTGTATAAATTGATCAATTTACTTACCAAAAGAGATTGATGAGTTATTCACCTAAATACCCACTCACTATTACAGAAAGAAATTTCATTTTATACGTATTTACCAAAAACCCCACCCCATTGTATACATTGATTACTTAGTTGATCATCATAAGATCCATTCATGGTATACATTGATTAGGTATATTCACTTGAAGGCTCAGGCATTGTATACACATTTCCCAGAGTTCGATATATATTCTTTGAGCAAACATTTCATGACTTAAAAGTGCTATTTTTTGATTGGGTAAGCAACAAAATACCCAGACATTGTTTATCAAAACATCTCAAGTTGTATACGTAAGAGTATTCCATGCTTGAGACAGTAAACGAGTGGCTCGCGAGAGTTGCGCATACTGCATCCATCATTCTGGCTTCTGTGTTGGTTGAGCAAGTCCGATAAATTTTAAGCAAGTCCGATACATTTTAGCAAACAAAAAAATATCGCTGTAATACAGAAGAAACCATGAAAATGGCCGATTCTGATTGATTCTAGATACCAAGAGTAGAATAACCAGTAGTACAATGCTAAAGTCATCATCTATCAAAATATTCGAACTACTTTACGTATGTAACCAAAAGTTAGGGCAGTTTCTGTCGAGGTTAGGATTAGTAAAATTGAAAAAAAATATATCTAGACCTAAAAGGGTGCAATAAAACGTTCAAATTCGAGATAAATGTGTAAAATTGGAATAGAAGTAATTTTTGTTTTAACTTTCTTGAAATTCAAACAAATAAGCCTAGTATCAGCGATTAATTTGAGAAAAAATGTTACTCTTGACATGTATCGAATGTCACGTGACCCCGGCCAGTAGACAATTTTTTATCGTTTTTGAAGCAAAACTTAACGCTTAAGTCGAATTTCAAAATACATTATTATTAAAAAAGTTTCCTCATGATTGATTGATTGACTGTCTTTATTACCCCAAGAAACATTTCTGTTCATAATAGGGATACATGAATTCATAAAAAAATATAATGAAAGGTTAATTGATGAATTCCTTTCAGTGGAAACAAATTAATATTGTTTTTCAAGATGATAGTTATAACATTTCATTTCTAAGTAATCCAATCATGCCATATATTTTTCATTCAAATTGTCCTGAGCAAGTTTTTTTTAAACCTTCTTGCATCATGTATATTTTTTAACTCATTTGGTAATGAATTGTATAAAATTAGTCCATGGTGAAATACAGATTGTTTGCCAATGTTCGACCTGAATGTATTTGCTATCAAGTAATTCAATTGTCAAGTACCATAACTATGGACTGTAGTGGCTTCATTAAATGCTGAATTTGATATTTTCAATTGAATCCTGGCAAAATGAATGAATAGTTATTCATTATACAAGGGAAAAAAGTAGTAGATTTTAGCTCCATGTTGTGTTGTCTCCCGACGCGTAGCGGAGGGAGACAAAAAACCGTGAGCTAAAATCTAATATTTTTCCCGTGTATAATGCACTATTTTTTCTGTGACAGAAGAAAGGACGAATCAATATTGAGAAGATATTATATTATTTTGAAATCTGAAAATTATCGACGTGAAATTTGAAGTTTTTAACACCTGCGGTGTAGGCATCTTTATCATTCTTTTGAAGTAATCAAATATCTTATATCACTTCTGTCAGTCTAATGCTGTGATTTGATTTCAAAAAATTGCAAATTTAGTGGTTGTTTAGTAATTTACGTAACCGCGAAGTCGAATGGAAGATAAAAGGACTTGCAGTTCTTTCTCGGAGACGGTATTATTGACTTATTTTCCGGAACTATAACACAACAAAAGCCATCAACAGTCTATATATATGTGATATATATCCGGGAAAAGAGTAATTTATGAAAAGTGACATTTTAAATCCTGTCAACAGAGATGAAATGCCAAACTTTTTTCCCGTCACAGAAAAAACAACATATGTTAAGTTTATATAACGAAATCAGGTTCAGAAAATGTCTAGGTTTGTATATATTCACCGTTGGTTCTAGAAAATGTAGTTACTTGAGTTGTTTCGTAATTTCATTAGTGGTTTTAGGCGTGAAATATTTGTACTCTCCCAATATTTGAATAACTGAGGCAAAAGTAAAATAATAGATTTCAAGTATTTTATGGGAATGGGATTTTGAATAAGATGCCAACTTCATGAGTGACACTGAATAATTCGACCGATTTTAGGAATTCTACCGTGGAAGACTTCTACAAATACAGTTCCAACGTCACGTCGAGCGGCATCGGATACTATTACCTCAACAATTTCAACAATCTGATCATATCCGGCATAACCTTGTTCGAACTGACAGTCGTGAACAACTGGTTCATCGTAATGGACGCCTATGCGTCGGTGACGAACAAATTCTCCAGGCTGTACTTTATGTTGTTCTATCTGTTCACTATGGTCGTGCTGACGATAGTCGTTGCCTCGGTGTTGGAGGCGTTCAGGTTCAGGATCCAGTATAAGCAACAGACTTCCAAAAAAGACGGTAAGATTTGTGGGCTAAGCATTAATAAAATAGTTTACCTAACAAGTGCGGAAAGTGATTCTTTCCCGCACGCGACTGCCGTTGACCCGTACCCGATTCAGAATCCTTGTGACGTCGATCTAGATGGTTTTCAATGCAAAATTCGGGGTTTTTCAAATTTTGCGCAAGAACTTGTAACTTCGTTATCCGTTGGATTAGAGACACAAATGTGTACTGTCTGTAGGTTAATCGAGGAGGTGGTACATTCATTTTACTTGGTTCTTTGGGATTTTCTCTCCTCGTTTCTATAAAATAAAAGTATTCGTATTATTTCAATATATTTGTAGAGGGACAAATCAGATGATTTGCCCCAAAATGTCACTGCGTTTAACAAATTTTTCTATCAGGGAATCTAAAAGAAAAATCCAGTAGCTTGTCAGTGACAATTTGTTTGAAAAAATTTTTGAAGGAAAGAAATATAGATATATTGAAAAAATATCGAATTTGTACTTATCTTTGGACGTTTCGGGACCTATTCTGCTCCCGTTCTCAACATGTAAATGCAAATTATTTTTCTTTGAAAGTTGTGCTGCGTATATAGTTTGACACTTTTCAGTGTCATACTGATGTTGGCATATGAATGAGTGATTTTAGTCTACAAATGAGTTACAGGATGTTTTCATTAATTGATCTTGAATCTACCATTTTCATGTTCAGTTTTCAGTAGTGAATACCATGTTCTATCAATATCAACTGAACAGGAAGCAATGCTATTGATAACAAACAAAAAAGAAAAATAAAGGAATCCGCTTGCATTCTTCTAAACGGAGACAATAGCATTGCTTCCTGTTCAGTTGATATTGATAGAACATGGTATTCACTACTGAAAACTGAACATGAAAATGGTAGATTCAAGATCAATTAATGAAAACATCCTGTAACTCATTTGTAGACTAAAATCACTCATTCATATGCCAACATCAGTATGACACTGAAAAGTGTCAAACTATATACGCAGCACAACTTTCAAAGAAAAATAATTTGCATTTACATGTTGAGAACGGGAGCAGAATAGGTCCCGAAACGTCCAAAGATAAGTACAAATTCGATATTTTTTCAATATATTTATATTTCTTTCCTTCAAAAATTTTTTCAAACAAATTGTCACTGACAAGCTACTGGATTTTTCTTTTAGATTCCCTGATAGAAAAATTTGTTAAACGCAGTGACATTTTGGGGCAAATCATCTGATTTGTCCCTCTACAAATATATTGAAATAATACGAATACTTTTATTTTATAGAAACGAGGAGAGAAAATCCCAAAGAACCAAGTAAAATGAACACAAATATGTACTGATTCAGAATCCTTGTGAGATTTTACGTCGATCTAGATGGTTTTCAATGCAAAATTCGGGGTTTTTCAAATTTTGCGCAAGAACTTGTAACTTCGTTTCCCGTTGGATTAGAAACACAAATGTGTATTGATTCAGAATCCTTGTGAGATTTCACGTCGATCTAGATGGTTTTCAATGCAGAATTCGGGGTTGTTCAAATTTTGCGCAAGAACTCGTAACTTCGTTATCCGTTGGATTAGAGACACAAATGTGTATTGATTCAGAATCCTTGTGAGATTTTACGTTGATCTGAATGGTTTTCCATGCAAAATTAGGACTTTTTGAAATTTTGCGCAAGAATTTGTAACTTCGTTATCCGTTGGATTAGAAACACAAATGTGTATAGATTCAGAATCCTAGTGAGATTTTACGTCGATCTAGATGATTTTCAATGCGAAATTCGGATTTTTTCAAATTTTGCGCAAGAATTTGTAACTTCGTTATTCGTTGGATTAGAAACACATATGTGTATAGATTCAGAATCCTAGTGAGATTTTACGTCGATCTAGATGATTTTCAATGCGAAATTCGGATTTTTTGAAATTTTGCGCAAGAATTTGTAACTTCGTTATCCGTTGGATTAGAAACACATATGTGTATAGATTCAGAATCCTTGTGAGATTTTACGTCGATCTAGATGGTTTTCAATGCGAAATTCGGACTTTTTTCAAATTTTGCGCAAGAATTTGTAACTTCGTTATCCGTTGGATTAGAAACACAAATGTGTATAGATTCAGAATCCTCGTGAGATTTTACGTCGATCTAGATGGTTTTCAATGCGAAATTCGGATTTTTTCAAATTTTGCGCAAGAATTTGTAACTTCGTTATCCGTTGGATAAGAGACACAAATGTGTATTGATTCAGAATCCTTGTGAGATTTTACGTCGATCTGGATGGTTTTCCATGCAAAAGTAGGATTTTTTGAAATTTTGCGCAAGAATTTGTAACTTCGTTATCCGTTGGATTAGAAACACATATGTGTATAGATTCAGAATCCTAGTGAGATTTCACGTCGATCTAGATGATTTTCAATGCGAAATTCGGATTTTTTCAAATTTTGCGCAAGAAGTTGTAACTTCGTTATCCGTTGGATTAGAAACACATATGTGTATAGATTCAGAATCCTCGTGAGATTTTACGTCGATCTAGGTGATTTTCAATGCGAAATTCGGATTTTTTCAAATTTTGCGCAAGAATTTGTAACTTCGTTATCCGTTGGATAAGAGACACAAATGTGTATTGATTCAGAATCCTTGTGAGATTTTACGTCGATCTGGATGGTTTTCCATGCAAAAGTAGGATTTTTTGAAATTTTGCGCAAGAATTTGTAACTTCGTTATCCGTTGGATTAGAAACACATATGTGTATAGATTCAGAATCCTAGTGAGATTTCACGTCGATCTAGATGATTTTCAATGCGAAATTCGGATTTTTTCAAATTTTGCGCAAGAATTTGTAACTTCGTTATCCGTTGGATTAGAAACACAAATGTGTATTGATTCAGAATCCTTGTGAGATTTCACGTCGATCTAGATGGTTTTCAATGCAAAATTCGGGGTTTTTCAAATTTTGCGCAAGAACTTGTAACTTCGTTTCCCGTTGGATTAGAAACACAAATGTGTATTGATTCAGAATCCTTGTGAGATATTACGTCGATCTGAATGGTTTTCCATGCAAAATTAGAACTTTTTGAAATTTTGCGCAAGAACTAGTAACTTCGTTATCCGTTGGATTAGAGACACAAATGTGTACTGATTCAGAATCCTTGTGAGATTTTACGTCGATCTAGATGGTTTTCAATGCAAAATTCGAGGTTTTCCAAATTTTGCGCAAGAATTTGTGACTTCGTTATCCGTTGGATTAGAAACACAAATGTGTATATATTCTGAATTCTCTCGAGATTTTACGTCGATCTAGATGCTTTTCAATGCGAAATTCGGATTTTTTCAAACATTGCGCAAGAATTAGTTACTTCCTTCGGAAAAGACATTTTCCGCATGAGTTAGGAACAATATTTTTTCTACAAGCGTAGGAAATTGATTGATTTGTTCAATCAATTATTCCTGCAAATAGGAACAACTAACAATAGTGATATTCTCTCTATCTTCTAATAATCAGTGATATATCTAGTGTGTGTACCGTTTGAAACATTATGTAGGTAAGCTTATTGCGGAAGCCAGCACGCCCATGGTGTTTGGCCTCTAGGTTTCAGACATTTCTAGGAAATGAGCCAAAAGTACTTCTTCATTTGGTGTTTCCAATTTTTCACTATTGCACCATTCAATAAATCCCGTGTAGTGCTTCTCATACCTTTCTTGAGACTTCTTTGGCAATAACTCTGTATCGCATCTGTAGCTGGAAGTTTTTCATCGCAATTCCACTGAATCGAAAATGACAGTAACGCATTCTGAGAATTACATTAACTAATTTGTGTTTTGATTGACATGACAGCTTTTGTTTCCCACATCAGATCAATTGAAGGCTTTAGGCGGATTTATATAACAATCAATTCTTATTTTTCAATATTTCATCATTTTCACGAAAATAGTGCAATTTGATGGATGATTTTGTACAAACTCACTAAATACTGCAACACAAAAAAACCTAAAATTTTTATATTGTGTCACCCACCACTCATATTTTGCGAGAATATCAAGTATATTAATGTTTTTCCTGCACAAGTTTTTTCTTAATTTTTTTGTACATACATAAAAACTAAAAAAGCATTAATTCATTGTTTTTTTTTGTCAGAGGAACTGATGCTTCACGAAGAAGTTATAGTTGACTGGAGTTCTTTGCAGAGTCAAATTCAAGATGTACGAATGTTGGAGGTTATTCAGTCAGATTTCATTGTTGGGGTGAGTACAGCAAAATATTTGTTCACTTCCCTTATAATTTATATCACAAATACCAAATACGGTTATTCCTTCACGTTTCTAAGTCGAATAACAAAAATCACAAATGCATGGGAATTTTGAATGCTGATATAAACTGGTATTTTCAGAGTTATGTTCAAAAAGCAATTGCAATGAGTGATGAGCCGAAAAATTTAACAAATTCTTACACAACGGTATTAAATATAGTACTCTTATGTCTCTACTGATTTCATGTGATAAAATCCAGTAATTATAATTTGATGAATTATTTCCACTTCCACAAAAATTGGCGCACCACCAAAAAGTATCCAAAAGTTTGAGATACATTTTCGTCAAAACTACTTGTTCGATTTGAAAATTTTTTGCTTTGAATGACAGGTTATTCATATAAAAACCTATTTTTTATGAATACCGGGTGTTGCAAATTCGTTTTACCCTGTAGAGTGTAAGAGTTACAATATCAAGTTCGAATTGAAATTTCACTTTAGCCTTATCTTTTTCCAACATTTTATTTTTGGATTTACCCAATTACCTTTTTTATTACTCCAGAAATACAATTTCATAGCATAACATGATTATATTGAATTCTATCATCATTAGAAGCACGTAAGTAGCAGGCTATGGTCTGCGGAGGCATTTCTTTTGACTGATCGCACGGAACTTGTGATCATAAATGGAAGCCTCATAGCTGAATGATACTTATTGAAGATTTTTGGAACCACATAAATAGTGTTAGGAGTTTCATTGATGCAAGATATTGTCAGGACTCACTACGCCCGAATTATTAGAAATTGGGAACACCTGGACCAAAATGACATAAAGTCTCTCATGTCTTTGCTAAGAAATTATACGTGCTCCAGGCGGAAAATATCGCTACTGACCCTTTCGTGGAACTTGCGACTTCGAATTCCGTTCCGGTTTCTTGTTGTTAAATATTAATAACTGTTGGAATGCAATTCAAAACGAAAAAACGTCCAAATCAGACATGTAGTTTTGACGAAAATGTATCTTCAACTGTTGGCTCCTTTTTGGTGGTGCGTTAAGAGTGATTGGCGCAGTCGGTAGGACCCATGTCTTATAGAGTTCGTACGTCATCAAAATGATTCAACAAGCTATAAATACAGAATTTAATCACATTTGATGAAAAAACGTTCCATCTGTAGGGAGTTATAGCGTATATAGGAAGGAGAAGAAGAACCAGGGACGTTCTCCAACATCACATGTACTCAACAGAGATTGCGCAATGGATGGAGGAGGCGGACTCTGTCGAAAAAGACATCAACTTGATTATCGACGAGGCACAAATTAACGCTAGGCTCATTTCCGCTTGAACACTATATCTATTTTGCACGTCTTAGTTTCTTAGGTATTTATTATCTAGGTTGTGAACCGTAAGATTACCAATCAGTTTTACCTTGATAGGAAACAGGACCAAAAGATGATACTCATTCAAAGACCTATATTGATTAGTGTGCTACTTACTTATTTGCATACATAATTTGTCGTGGTATAAGCTAGGGTCCCTTGATGTAAATTGACGTATTTGTCATCTCAACAGGGTACAGACAGATCCTCGTCTCCTCTCACTCTTAAGTGTTTGTGAAACAGATATATAGTTCCATCTTTATTCATTTCTGGGGATAAACACTAGATTTTCTGACATTTGTTGTTTTTTAGGTTATATATTGAAGACCTTGGCGTATCATACGTAATTTCCACATGTAATTTCTCATTCAACTCTACATATTATATCCAAATGATGATGATAATTTTGATTTTTCAACTTCAGCATAATCTTTGTGAGACAGTGAGCGAATTTTTCTGTAAGTATAATACTTTTTACCAAATGGGACTGTTCTTATGCAGAACCGATCAGTAAACTAATTTTGATTTCAGACTAAGCCTTATGGTTGAGAAATGGTGAAAAATTTTATGTAGGTATTCAAGCTAATATGCTCATATGTCATGTGTGCTGTATATATTCACGTTGGGAATCATTTTTGCAGTTTTTCACGAACACATAATATTTTCTGTAATTTTTTAAAGGTAGGGCATATGCCTCTTCTTTTAATCCTCCGTTTTAATCAAAACTGTTTTTACTAAAATGCATTCAAAAACTTGTGGAGTGAATAATTATAGGCACAATGAGAAAGTATACCGGGTGACAAAGGTTATCGGGCCACCCCTGTAACTTCTGCATTCGTCAACGGATTTTTCTGAAATTCGATACAGTTATATAAGCAACTATTTCGGATTTGATCACATTACAATCCAATATGGCGGACTTCCGGTTTTTCTGGAAATGCCAGCAATTTTGTTTTTTCAAATGGAACACCCTGTATATTTTTTTCATATTCAAGTTCAACAGGTCAAAACAAGTGCAATCTTGATGTCAAATGTCATTTATTCCACAGCTTTTACCTAGTTGAAAAATTATTCTATCTGCAAGGAAATTCATAAACTAGTTGTTGATTTTTGAATGTATACAATTTGTTACTGCACCGAAAAACAAAAACGATATGTCATTTTGTTCCTTAATGTATGTTCTAGAGAGACGGGTAGGTGGCCCATAGGGGTTCCATTTGAAAAAAAATATTTTTTTATCAAAAAGTGATGTGGCTGAATTGATTCCTGAATAAGTGACACAAAAAATAATTTTTCAGAAAATATCATGTTTCTCTGTTATGTGCGACTCATTGTGAATAGCCTTGACCACATCTCATTTATTCACTAGGTAAAAAAAAAACAATTTTAATTTGAATTTTTTCGAAAAAATTACATTTGAAATAGAGATTGCTTTTGTTTCGACCTGTTGAACTTGAATATGTAAAAATATACAGGGTGTTTCATTTGGAAAAACAAAGTTGCTGGCATTTCCAGAAATACCGGAGGTCGGCCATATTGGATTGTAATGTGATCAAATCCGAAATAATTGCTTATATAACTGTACCGAATTTCAGAAAAATCCGTTGACGAATGCAGAAGTTACAGAGGTGGCCCGATACCCTGTGTCACCCGGTATAATATGTGAATTCGTTTAACCTCGAATATTTTGCTGATGAATTTACTAATTTTCCCCATTCCGTCACTTCACTTTCCATGTTCTAAGTTCATTTGCTTTTCATGGAAAGATGAATTCAAATTTACCATCCAACTGATTGAAACAGCCTAACGCAGCACATTTTACCATCCTTCCAAAACAGAATTAAATAATGTCGTATCAAGATAAAGTATGAAATTGAAATTTTGTAAGATCTCTTCTAACGCCTATGAATGTGACGTGACAGCAATGTCATGTCAGGGACGCCAATACACGAAACCAAAGTCACTAGATGATTAAAAGAGAAAGGAGCTATGATCTGTTCGTACCCTGTTAGATGACAAATACGTCAGTTTGCATCAAGGGACCCTAGTATAAGCTACATCGATGAAAAAAATATCATCTAAAATACATGTTAAACAGTGCTTTTATTTAATGTCCCCGCCGTGTTTATTTTTTGAACGGGTCAACAGCAAAAATTGAAACTTGGGATAACGAAATAAATGCATGAATACTATATTTTGGAGTAAAGCATTTTTCAGCATATTCGAATACAGTTCCCCTGTTGAATTTTTGTTCAATGAATAAATATTAATGTTTTTTGTATTCAGGCAACTATGTTCCGTCATTTTGCAGTAGATGAAGATATCGACTTTATATTCTAGGGTTGTAAAGTACTCATCAGGAACTTCAAAAGTCCCTCTACTCATTTAATTTTTTTTCTGATGGCGTCCAGTCGCCATCATGGAATTTCTATCTGTCAATTTCATTATCCCGTTTCAATTTTTTGTTGACCCGTTCAAAAAATAAACAGGAGGGATACATTAAAGAAAAGCACTGTATATTTATATAACTAGAGTATACTAGTTGTAGCAATTTATTTTTCTAGTAACTGAATGTTGTGATAGCTGAACTAAATAGCACAAGTGGTATTTTATAGAGAAATATTATTTATTAATTATTATATGAAATAATTGCAAAAAGTGAGTAATTTGAGTTTATGCTTTAAAAATATTTATAATATATCATAAATTATTTGAAGAGGGTGTTAATCTCCTCAATAATTTCTTAAACTGTTTTTAATTGCATTATTTTCAACAGTATTATTTTTAACAAACTTAAATGATATGAAAAAGATCAAATGTATTTTAATATTAGCTTCTATGTTCTCATTAGGTAAGTCATTTTACAATATCTATATATTTTATAAACACTGTTAATAAATGAAAAACGAATTGATAAATTGCATCAATCACGCCCATTTTAGTCCTTGGCAGTTCTTTTGTTTTCACTGGAAACTAAAGGCTCTGAAGTCTAATAAATTATGAAAGTGTGAAATTTTAGTGATAGTCCTAACCAGTAATCTTATGTTTTTTTGCTGCTCACCAAGATTTTTTCGGAATGTTTCTAAAATGTTCTCTATCCATTTCCTATGATTTTTTAACGATACAATTTCCTGGAATCGGGAAGGTTGAAGTATTCACAGAGGTATTAAAAATTATTTATTTAAAATTATCTTATGATGTATACATAAATTTAAACACTCGACATTAGGGTCGCTATTATAAAAAGCTTTTGTTAGTATTTTTATAATCAAGTGATCTTTTATAATGAAATGTTCAACAACTTTATATACAAAACAACCTAAATTGCAGAGGATTATCTCAAAACTGATAAATTCAGTTTTTGCAGGTGAATGTTATGGAATAAAATATTCATTTGCTTCAATAGTAAATCAAAACGTTTAGACCACTGACTAAACATAGGAATAATGAGTAATCCCAACTATTTAGATCGCCTGGTATAAAAGAATTATACTAAAAAGATTCTTTGGTAAAAACATTTATTTAAATTTAGTTCAATAAAATATACAAACAAAAATGTACAAAAGAATATAAATAGGTACATAAATAAGTACATCACAACGAAAAAAGCGGAGTAAAAGTTGTAATCACCTTCATAAAAACATTCCCAATAATCATAAATACCCTGAACAAGAATAATCTGAATTTCAAATTGTAGATATTAAAATATGATTCATTGAGTAATATTGTATAAAAATAAAAAGTATTTCAACAGTTATACATACCGGGTGTCATAACTTCTAGACCATTAGGTGTATCAAAATGAGGTTTGGTATAGGTAAATGGTATGTGAAGAGGAAAGTTTTCACATATTTTCCACTTTCCGGTCACTTCCGGTTTCACCGGAAATGGCTCCGGTTCTAAATTTTTAAATGGAACACCCTGTATATTGTAACATTTTTGGATTTCTGAGACAATTCTAGATCAGAATGTGACATTTTCGGAAGTGTTTATGCCTACCCAATTTTTTCGGAGTCACTTTTGGAATTACATCTAGGTGGCCATGATTTGAAGTAAACTAATCTAAGGACCTCAAAAAATTACAATCGCGAAGTTTTAGTGACAAGTATGATAGATATGAATAAGACAAGTTGGAAAAATTACATTTTCGTGTCTAACTATTATTTTTCAAATGGCGACCATATTTTGACAGGCACTTTCTGAAAAAATGATATTTTGACGAATCTAACGATACTAATTGATTTGCGATTGAATCACAAATAAGAACATAAATTAAATATTACTGACGAAAATACTTCATAATAATTTATTTACTTTTGTCAAGTGTGCGATGGATAATAATTCATTTACTTTCGAAATAACTGCAAAATATTACTTGACGAAAGTAAATAAATTATTATGAAGTATTTTCGTCAGTAATATTTAATTTATGTTCTTATTTGTACCGGAGCCATTTCCGGTGAAACCGGAAGTGACCGTAAAGTGAAAAATATGTGAAAACTCTCCTCTTCACATACCGTTTATCTATACCAAATCTCATTTTGATACACCTAATGGTCTAGAAGTTATGACTTGTCTAATAAATTCGTTGACACCCGGAGCAAGGCAAATGTTTCCATTTTTGTTTTGATAATTGATACCAATAGTTTTTTAGATCTGGGTGTTTGTATTCTATGAATGTTTGTTAGGAATTTAGAAAGGCGATTGACAGTAATTTTGGCGAAATCATGTGGGTTCAAAAATGAACGGGTATAAAATATAAGTCGTCGATAAAAATATAAAAAATGAAAACCTGTACACATTTTCTTTCACAAAATCCCAAGATTTTGCTGGTAGGAATATATACATTTGAAATCATATAACTATGTTTGATAGGAAGACTGTACAATCTTTTGAAATTCATTAAAAAATAAGTTACGTCACGATTTGCATACATCACAATTTACTACAATATGTACAAGTTTTGTGGAAATGTGCAAAATTAAATTTATTCCTACACGTTTTCATCAACATCGATAATGTTGAAAAAGTATGTTCTATGGATGCAAAAAATATTTTAAAAAATTAAAATTGTATATCCTTTAGCGCTATTTACTATCAAGTGAAATTACTCTATTAGAATTTTTTTCAAAATACGCTTTTTTGCACACACTTGTACATGATATTTTTGTTAGATATTTGATTTTGTCATTCTCCAGTTTTTTTAGATGATTCAGATACCTGCAACAAAATATCTCATATAATACATAAAGAAGCATATTTTATTTTTTAACAATTATATGTTAAACATGAATTTTTAATAGCGTTAAGCATAGTTAGCATCGAAATAAACAGGGTGTCCTTGAAAAAACTGCGTGGAACTTCAAATGTGGAGGATTCTGGTTTATTTTTGAAAACCCAAATTTAGCTAGTTCCAGTGATATGAGTTATACTGAAAATTGAAAAATGTGACCCATAGTATATAAATTCTTCTAAAAGTATTGTCACAAGTTGGAAAAACTATAAAGAAACGAACTTCAACACCATGGTGGTGGTAGTTATAATAATTACGGACAAGTGATTTCATTTTGTAATCTTACCATCCTTATTGTCTGGAACCTCTAGCTGCTTCTTCTAAGGCTCTTACTTTAAGTTCTCGCTCTCTTTGTTGCCTAAAATGCGAAAACTACTATTATATAGATTACCGTTCACGATTTCCGTGAAAAAACTACTCAAACAGACAATTGTAACTCACAAGCTAGACGCCACAATTTTGTATTCATTGACCTATTTCGACGGAAACTTTTTTCAAATTGGTAAACATGAAAAACAATATCTAAAAATGTATGCAGAAAGTTTGTTTTCTGTGTAAATACATTTTTTCAATAGCTTGTTGGAATACAAAATCCAGAAGCGTGTCGAGATATAAAACCAAGAAATATTTTGAGAACTATAAACTGTACACCCATGATGAAAAACTATAAACCTAATGCCATAAACATTAGTTATAATAATAAATTATCCGGAATTGGACCAATTCAACAAAAAATAAGCAACAATCACCAAGTAGACAAGGAGTGAGTTATATCTACCACAAATTAAAAACCATAATATCTAATGGGGGAGACCACTGATTTTTTAAAATCACATTATCGTGAACTCTATCTGAAAAACTACCAGCGAATTAATTTTGAATTTTGTCATTCATGCTAAGACGATGAAAATAATAAATTTGGATATGTCTATTTCAAAACACACAATTCCTGCGCCATTTGAAATTTTGTCAATTCATTGGTGTGGCTGGTGCGACGTCTTATTCCCAACACGCCTATCTTCCTTGAACTGCCAATCACACTGCAACACTGCAGAATGACGAGGTATCAGAGAGAGATAGCTACAGTTCGGGACTAATACGTCACGACTCCACCATCATATTTGGCTGTTTGAAATATCGATGAAATATGCTGATTTCAAAACCATGATTCGTCGATTGAAAGAGGTTTGCACGGATTTCTTCTCTCAGTGGTCTTTCCCATTGTTTTGACTTGAAACTATTCATAAAATATTATTCAGTGTACTACCATGTAGGTGACGAAATTATATTATGACGCATAACATTCCGACAGGAATGAATCAATAACTATTTTAATCCACCCAACTGATGGTCTTCAATTAAAATAATACATTTGGGCAGAAACATGTTACACTCCTTCTCTTCAAATTAATTTGCATCCAAAAATCACCAACTACAACCCAAACAAAAACGCATTCAGTAAAACCAAAAAGCGTAGCATATCACGGATATAATTCATTCGAGTTCAACAATCGACATTTTATATTTCAAGAAGATACTCATGACAGTTGACTTTGTAGATGTAACTTCCAATTACATAACTATCTAGACTGCTATATATGTCATATCTCAGCAATCCGAAAATCTCATCCAAATGGGAAAGTTTCCTTTATTGAGGTTTTTATGAGTTTGTAAAAAAATAATATACAGGGTGTTTCATTACTAATTGGGAATATTTCAACCATAGAATCCCGAACTCAAAATATGAAGATTTAACCCAAATCACCTAGATAAAATATGTCTCCTGTCTGAGTTACAGGGTGTTTTATTGAAAAATTTTGAAATGTTTTTTTCCCAGTTCTTCAAAACTATTTGACGTATCACTTTCATATTTGGAGGGAAGTGTAGGTATTATACATCCAACTGAATTATGTGAAATGAACTTTTCTAGATATCACCAGAAGCGTACGACAGGGGCAAGTGACTGGTTGATCCTTCTCAAATTCTACGCCACCCGCGAAATTGCAATTTTATCAGAATTTTTCGATCCTTCAATACCTTCTTCGTAGATATTGTACTCTTTCTTCATTACGAGTCATTATTTCTCGAGATATTTCAAGTTAAACATGAAGCAGCACAGTTATTTTGATTTTAATGTGTATCAATTATGTCGATATTTTGGATCAATGAACTGCATTCATCAATCAAATGAAACTTCAATCCATATTAACATAATAACATAACAGACGGGAGCTCCTGTCTGTTATGTGATTATGTTTTTATTGTTACTATGGGTTGAAGTTTCATTTTATTGATGAATACAATCCATTGATCCAAAAATATTGACAAAATTAATGCATATTGAAATCAAAATGATTGTGCAGATTTATGTTTAACTTGAAATATCTCGAAAAATAATGACTTTGTCGCCATGGAGAAAGAGTACAATATCTACGTCAAAATTGTTGGAGAATCGAAAATTTGTGATAGATCGCAGTTACGCCAGTGGCGTAGAATTTGAGAGGGATCAACCAGTTAATTACCCCTGTCGTAAGCCTCTGATAATAGCTAGAAAAGTTCATTTCACATAATTCAGTTGGGTATACCTACACTTCCCTCCAAATATGAAAGTGATACGTCAAATAGTTTTGAAGAACTGGGCAAAAAACATTTCAAAATTTTTGAATAAAACACCCTGTAACTCAGACAGGAGACATATTTTATCTAGGTGATTTGGGTTAAATCTTCATATTTTGAGTTCGGGATTCTATGGCTGAAATATTTCCAATTAGTAATGAAACACCCTGTATATGTATTTTTTCTTTTCTTAAGATCAAATTTCACTTCAGAAAAAATAAATAATAGAGGAACTTGGCTCTTCCGCCATTCCTAGGACTTCCTTTCTGAAAATCCACATTTACACAGACCAGTACGACGTTGCCGACATCATTAATATGTCTAGATTTCCGGAAATTGTTCTTTGAATGCATAATAACTGTATCATAATAGCAATGGGATATAATAGGTTCTTCAATCCTACTTTGTCAAGTATCATGAATAATTCCCATAAATCTCTCATTGGCTGAATGAAGTTGATTACTAGTAAAGATAAAATTATGATATTTTGCGATAGTATCTATAATTTTCCACTATTCTTATACAACAATATGTTATTCATAACTTGTCAGTCATTTTTTTGTTAATGAATTCGTTCCTCAATAAAACGGATCTATTTTCTTGGAAAGTTGCAGATCATATCTTGCAACAGCACCTACTCCGAGTCCGTCCACACCACTCAAAATACATCAATTTTTCAGTTGAATAGGTCGTGAAACTTTTCAGTTGAATAGGTGGTGGAAAAATTCCATTCAAGTATGTCAGGTAGTGCCATCTGTCAGCAGAGTGGTTTACTTGTAGTACCACTCTGTAGCGTATAGACGTAGGGTCTGTACGTGTGACTATAGATGGCAGCGCCATACATTGTGTGTCGCGATCTCTGTATCCTACTTAAAGCTTTGCTACTAGATGGCTACAACATGACTATAACTTCTTAGAAATAGGTGATATACCCGAAGCGTAGAGTTGTCCCAGTTGTCAGCAGAACGAGAGCGGCTGATGAGACCTGGTGGGTCGAAACAGTACTGTCTCGCTCCTGCTGACAATTGGGGCAACTCCGTGTTCATCCTGCATCTCTTAGTTATGAAAGCTAGCAGATAAATGCAACTGTCAGAGTTCTTGACTGTCAATGCCAATAGTATTGAATTCGAAAGAAAAACCCCCCGTGAAAAGGCCCAACCAGTTATTTCTACGACACTCGCAGCAGACAACACACGAAAAAAGGCAACAAACAACTTAGGGAACACGAACAGACCTCAAGTACTCTTCATGTTGAGCGACAATGGAGGGGTGAGGTGGAAAGCGATCTCTTTCTAGGAGCATCTGCCTCTGTAACTGTTCATGGGCTGCAGCCTGAACATCAAAGATAACATTTTAATTGAGCTCAATGGACCCAGAGTAACTGAACTGCTCCATAATTGAAGTGAGACAAGCAACAATTCTCTGGAAGCATCATAACTTTGGATTGGATCAACCAATTTTCAATGTCTTTCAAAATTTTAATAGCTCTTTTTATATTGAACATCAGTATTTTTTGTCATTCCACCTTGTCGAAATGTGATGAAAGTTATTACAGTGATTTTTTAAATTGTTTTTTTGTGGACAATAAGATGGAGGATAAATGAATTTTCTCGAAAAGGTTCTGGATTCAACATAATTCGTACAGAATGTTTTGGTATAAGGAATGTTTTACAACATATTGAATGGGCCTATATCACAAAAAAATGTATTTCATAATTCAATAGAACTCACCCAAACTAGCTCACCACCGCAAACCGTTTCTTGCTGTGAGCTCCCTACGTTTTATAAAAAATTATTGAAATCCCCGATTTTTCGGACCTCTGAAAACAAGGCGATGATGTGACGTCGAAACCCCAATACTGAAACAAGACTATCCCAGACAGAGATGAATGATACAAGATTTCTGACAGAGTGAATTAGCGCGAGATCACAGTTGAAAGAATTAATATATCAGTTTCCTCAGTCTCCGTCGGGCGTTTGGTATTTTCTTTTAACTAAGGCGAGATGAAGTTTCTACGACATAAGAGGGTCCGTTTTCGGAAGGTACTATTATATTTGTCCAAAAATAAAACATTCCAGTTAATTTTTCGATCGAATTATGTCGTCAATCATAATTTATGTATATAAGGATCATTATAAACATGGTTTGAGTTAGAAGTTCTACTAAGGTGTACACGCCCATTCTGATATGTTCAACCACCATAAACTCAACTTCAACAGAACTTTAGTTAGTAGGGGAGATGCAACAAATCATTGTTTGTATTAAAGTGTAGATTTTTCATTTTCATTAAGAATAGTGTTATTATCTGCATTTCTTCGTAGTATTTTCATTTATTTCTACATTTTTACCATGTTTGAAAATGTACAACTTATTGTACAGTGATGGCGTTGCAAAAATGCCGATTTAGAGTTCTGTCGAATTAAAGTTGAGTTAATGGTGGTTGAACATATCAGAATGGAATATGTTGTGAATAGTTCGATATATGAGAACCATTTCGAGAAAACTGATGCTTTAACTTATCGGCCTCGATTTAACATTTTAAAAATATCCCTGCAAAACGGGACATACAAAAATCTGTTCGAGAATTATCACATTTTCAGATATCACCCTGTAGGTCATCATTTCGGAAAGGTGGAATGACGAAAAAATACTGATGTTATACTAAATGACATGAGCTATTAGAATCTTGAAAGAAATTGAAGATTGGTTAATTTTTTCCATTCCAAATATGGAGGCAGTTGAAAATAGATTTATTTTGCTTCTCTCCTCTGTCCAATAGACATCACATTTTAAGGATATCTGTGGAATCGTTGCCAAATCGACAATTCAATAGAATTTTTCGGATTAAAATACCTTATTTATTTCGGCATAATCAGCTAATGACAAATAATTCAAAGTAAATGTGGCGACACTGCAAAGTTTCGTAGTAGACGAGCTTGGAGTAATGGTTATAAGAGAGGTAATTTATTATTGATACAAATCTAAAGCAGACAATTTTTTGAATAAATATTGTTCGACAGTTTCAAATCTGTGAAGAAAGTTGATATTATCCCAATAATATTCCAAGAATATCGTGCGTACCTAGATACGTAGCTTGCTTTTGTTGATGAAAAGCGTACTCAAAATATTGAGACTATCAAAGAACCTCACTGTTGGCAATGATTCCGCAGATATCCCCACCATTCGTGAATGAATGAAATTTCATTTATCCGTGTTGGCTATTAGGATTGTTGCCATATACTTTTAAATGATTCATGAATGAATCACGATGTCTATCTATTACTATATTCCAGTATTATGCACATTTAAATCGACCTCACGGGTTTGTGTTACAGGGAGAAATTTTGATACAAAAGTTTAATGTATGTTGAAAACAATTCTGGTAGTCTATACAATAGTGCAGATGACACCAGTACCACAAGAGTGTGTTCAAGCTTCAAGGTGCACTCTTCAATAACATTTCTTCCACATATTTACACATCCTAATCCACTGAAGTGAAAAAATTCAATGTACAAATTTTCCCCCATCAGAGCTGGGCATTATTTGTATTTACACATACGTTTTAGTATTTAAATACTTTTCGGTATTCAAATACCGAGAATTTGAATACTTTCTGGTTCATTGCAAATAGTTTCACACAGTATTTGAATATATCTGAAGTACCGGGTGACCACTTATATTCTGACCCATTCCAACTGCTCATATCTACGAAACTATTCAAATTATCGTTGTGCGGTTTGGACTTCTCTATTTTGATATTCTTCAAGTTTTTTGACTGGTTCACCTTCTCACCTGAACTTCCGGTTCTTCCGGAAACAAAAAAGCCATTATTCAGGTATAGGGCAATTTTGATAACATTGCATAATCTCATTTAAACATTCCACAAGCAGTAGTTGTTTCAAAGAGTTATAACTCTAATAGTTTTCTAGGAGAACATAACTTGTAATACATTGTTAGATAGTGAAAAGACCAGTCTTTCTGAATGTGCAAGAATATACAGGGTGATTCAATGAAATAAAAAAGTTGCCCTATACCTGGATTATTGCTTGTTTGTTTCCGGTAGAACCGGAAGTTCAAGTGAGAAGATGAACACGTCAAAAAAAAACTTGAGAAACATCAAAATAGACTAGTCCAAACCGCACAACGATAACTTGAATGGTTTCAGAGATATGAGCATTTGAAATGGGTCAGAATATAACTGGTCACCCGGTATTTAAATACTTACGATGAATTTGAATACTCAAAAGTATTTAAATATTTCAGAAGTATTTAAAAACTCGTAAAATATTCAAATACTGTGGATGTATTCAAATACTCCGAGAATAATTAAATTTTCAGATTCTGACTTACGGCCACCACGGCTATGATATCATCTTCTTAAATGAAACATACTGTGGATTTTAGCTTTTCAGAATCTGAGCTGATTCCAGAGAACTCCAAATCCAACACCCAATGTAGTGAATGGTGATTTTATTTCACCAATCTGACAATGATGATTCATACATTTTTAGAGAGGAAGATAAAAAACCCAAAGAATTCGAGTAAAAATAAATGATAATTCTGTTAAATAATATACATAGGTACGTGAGTGAGTCACTAATCAGACATCATCATTTTTTATTAATGTCGGTTTTTCACAAATTGGCGACTGCAGTACAAAAAATTATTCATTTTTTCATACTTTTGCTATGGAAACTGCCTCAATTACTGGAATCTACATAACACAAGGTGATTGAAAGCTTCAAAAATCATCAAGTAACATGAAGGTATTCAAATCCTTGAGAATATTTAAATACTTTGGATGTATTTAACTTTGAAAGTATTCAAATCCTTTGGAAATACTCAAATTGTTCGGAAATATTCAAATATTTTCAGCGTATTCAAATACTTCGAAAATACTTTGAAAGTATTGAAATACTTTGAAAATACTCAAATACTTTGAAAGTATTCAAATACTTACTGTGGAATATTCATATACTTTTGTATTTGTTATTTAAATACTTTCTGGCCTTTGAAAATATCTTCAATATCCGAAAGTATTTAATACTTAATATTTGAATACTTTTCTCAGAGTATTTGCCCAGCTCTGCCCCCAATGACAATTTCGCGTTCTAGACGAGATTATACACTTACTTGGTGAGCCAATTGATCTGCATAAGGCCTGCCCAAGAGATCCGGGTGGTGCAGCCCTAACGGCCCTTCCCTGCTAGGTATCAGACCGGGCCGGGGGTAACCTGACCCGCCGGAAGCTAAACGAAATCGATTTTTTTATATAAATGTACAAAAACAGAGGTTTGCTCAGGTTTGTTAACGTTAGTTAATAATAATAATAACATTTATTGATCCCAAGAAACATAAAATGTTTATAGAGGAAAAAAAATAAATCAAATATGCCATACAATGAAATATAAACAGTTCAATCAGAATTAATTGATATTGAAAGTAAGATTCGAGTGCTTTTTCTTATTTTTAGTGAAATGAACGAAAATGCATACTTTCATTTTGAAGAGAGAGCAGATCCCTTGGTTTGTATAGTCTAGATGTTGATTCGAGAAATGGTAGTTTATAATAGTTATTTATGCAACAAGTGCAAAAAGTGAATGTTTATTGCACTCGACGTGAAATTGTCCGACGAGGCCGTGAGGCCGAGTTGGACAACACGTCGAGTGCAATAAACAATTTTTGCACGAGTAACATACAACATTTTTTCTACGTTCATGCAAAAAGCAAAAAATGATTTATTGAGGTGCGGCACTAGGTACAATTCTGTTAATTGTCAGAATTAATTTTTGACTGACGTTTCTATAACCACAGTTGCAATATAAAAAATGTTTGTCATGATGACAACACGTTGAAGTAGAATGACAGATGAGTGCAATAAAAACTTTATTGCACTAAGTGCAATAAAGAACTTCTTTTTCCACTAAATATAGTTCAATAAAGTTCTGTTTTTTGCATGAATGTAGAAAAATACATTTTATGGCTTTATTTTGAAGAGATTCGAGAGGTTTCCAAACAGATTTTGCTGCAGTACCCCAGATCGATATCAGATACTGCAATTTCAAGTATTTAAGAGGTATAAAAGACCTCAATTTGTATAATATACCAACAATGGGAGACATTTTTTCTGAGCCATTGAATATGCGATGACCAAGATAGAGTCTGATCTATAGTTAAACCGAAGAGTTTGGAGTTTTTTGTAGGATTTATACAAAAATTTCCGAATTTCAACGGATCTATTTGGTTATCCGGTATAAATCTTTACGACATGTACATAAAAAGAGATTTATCGAAATTGAGTGTCAATTTATGATCTTGTAACCACAATGTAATTGAAGCGAGATCTTGTTCCATTTGGTTTTTTATTTCTTGTATATTTTTTCCGTAATAAATGAGAGTTGTGTCATCGGCAAAGGAAATACAAGGAGATACACCATATTCCACAAGAATAAGAACATTTGTTCACAATTGTATTCTTCATGTAGACTTTTTGTGAATTCAGTCAGTGTTCAAATACAAGACTGGGAGAAAACCCTAAAATCAAAGATGTATATTTTCATGTAGTTTATTCAGACTTACAGTCAGTGTTGAATTATAAAAGACTAATAGATACACCATAATTCGCAAAAATAAGATCGTTTGTTCACAAAATTCTACAGTTTCCAATGTAGCATTTTTTCGAGATTCAGAATCAGTGTTCAAGTAAAGGAGAATGGGAGACTCTGAGTTTGCAAGAATTATATTATTTGTTCACAGAAGTTCCCAATTGATATTTTCATGATTCATTCAGTGTTAAAATATGACTGGGAAAGAAATCAACGATGTATTTTTTATGTAGTTTGTTGAGACTTACAATCAGTGTTGAAATACAACACTGGGATAAATTCGAAATCAACGATGTATTTTTCATGTAGTTTTAGTGTGAATAACGAAGGGCATGTAGATTTTTTGGAGATTCAATCAGTGTTCAAATACAAGACTGGGAAAAAACTCAAAATCAATAATGTATTTTTCATGTGGTTTGTTGAAACATACAGTCAGTGTTAAATAACAAAAGGCTAGGTGATACACCATAATTCGCAAGAATAAGAACGTTTTTTCACCCATCCTCACATTGAATTTTCCATGTAAAATTATAATTAGTGTTCAGGAACAGAAGACTAGAGAAAAAAACTCAAAATCTAAAAGATCACACTTAATTGTCTATGAATAGTTTTTGAAGATTTACAGTAGCAATATTCTTTTTACCTTGTTACATTCTCACTACTGAGATCAATTGAGTTACAAGGAGGTGAGACGGATCTGAGTTATTGATTGAATAAAAAGAACACGTTTTTATCTGTCAGGAAGGGCAAGGGAAGAAAACATAACCCGACATAATTCAACCAAAATGTAAAATGACTGAGGAAATTAATGAGGAGCAGAGAAATATTATTGTAGTGAGTATTCAAAAGATTTAACCTGTGGACTGAAACTTCAAAGCTGAAAGCATGTCAAAATGTGAATATAACCTTACAATTTTCAGCACAGGACCACAGATTTACTAGAATTAATCCAGTCTCACCTTTTTATCACTACAACACCATATGAATAGCAAGCTCGGTTGGGGTGAGTGGGAAGAAATAGTCTCAATAAGTTCTAAGGACAACTCACATCAGACTAAGATAAAGAATCTTGGTTGATCTTAGTAAAAGTTGGTAAAAAGAATATTACTAGTATGACTTCAAGTAAGTGCAAAAAACAAGGAGAAACCTCAAAATCCACACAGATCATTTGTTCACGTCTTATTAGTATGCCAAGTTTTTGAATAAAGGAGCATTTCCATGCATCCGACTTCCGATGAAATTGTTTATTGTTTATTGAGAAACTAGCTTCCATTCAGAAATAGAATTCTGGTATGAGGAAGTTGATTACAAACAACAATAATAAAATAATATAAGGTGACAACAACGACAACAAAAAATACTAAAGAATCTAAAAATGCTAAATCGATCAAGTCATAAAAATAGCCACAGGGACTAATCAGTAGATGGCAAAGTATCAATTTTATGATCTTAAAATTAAATACTTTTGTACCTGGTAGGGGGAATCCTGCTGCCGCTGCCGCAGCTTCCTGCTGCGCTTGTTGCTGCTGCGGATGCAGGTGCAGGTGGGTATGAGCGTGAGTGTGCGCATGAGTATGCGCGTGGTACTCCGGGGAAATGCCGGCCATCTGCAACCTCACCTTTAACAATATTAGAAAATTACTTGATAATATTTCTACCGACAGACTGTCAAAACAATTAGCGAAAAATTATCTATTGAAAAGGAATATTCTCAGATCAAAGATAAAAAATGGATATACAGAGAAGTGCACAGAAGACGGCCAGGATTGTAACTCTTGAATTATTCTGAATAGGGTTTTGAAAATTGGTGGGTAGCAAGTATACCAAATTGCTCATTACTTGATGAAACAATTTTTCTTCTATCACTTCCAGTTTCACCGGAAACGACCCCAACTTTTGATTTTTGAATGGGAAATCCTGGATTGTATTCCATAATCTGTAAGGGATTATCATAACGAATTCAACGATACCGGGTTTGATTGGGTTATTTCAAACTACTAAAGTTCCCATATGCTCAATGGGTGTGACTTCGCAATATCAAAAACTTCTTTCTCTGTCACACTCATTGAGCATATGGAAACTTAGATCGCGAATATCTGCGTAATCGTTTGAAATAACCCTATCTATCGTTGAATTTGTTATGACAATCCCTAACCGATCATGGAATACAATACAGGATGTCCCATTTAAAAATTGAGAGTTGGAATCGTTTTCAGTAAAGTCGGAAGTGATAGAATCAAAATTGTTTCGTCAATTAATGAGCAATTTGGTATACTAGTTACATAACCATTTTCAAAAACCTATCTCGAATAATTCAAAAGTTACAGTCCTGGTCGTTTTTTGTGCACTCCTATATTGTTCTTATCTAATCCACCATTGCCCCCTTACGAGCAACCCTCAAAAGTCTTCAAGATACTTGTGCGAGCAAGGAATGACGGGGGGTCAGACCTCGAACCAACCTACCGGCAATCCAACGTGGATAGAACATTGACGTTTTAACCACGAGGCTATGCTGGCCATAAAGAAATACATTGAGAATTCGCATTTTCTATGTGAGAAAAATATCAATTCTTTCTCGGTTCATTCAACAGAAAACAACTACTTTTCTGGCTATATGCCAGGACGAACCTTGAATTATTTCTATTGAACACACATGATAACAATTTGAAAACAAAATCTTCCAAAGTTGAGAATTTGCATTCTCCTACATATAAAAATATGCATATGTACTAATATCAATATTCAGAATTATATATTATATATATGATATACTTAATTTGCAATGTTCTATCACCTCCAGAACGCTCGGTACATATTTTTGACTCACCCTGTATGAAATACCTATGAAGGACATACATTTTTTAGCAATGATTCCGCAGAGTTTTCACCACCATTCACGATTTCATTCGTTTATCCGTGTTTAGCGTTTAGAATTGAATGGCCAAGTGGAAGAAGGGGTTATGTTACAAAGACAAGTTTGTGAGAAGAATAGGTTTTAGTAAAGCTAGCTGGCATTATTTAATGGAAGCTAGTTTAATGATTGAATTTATGCATTTGTTAGGAATATTTTCAGGTTGATTTTTTATGATTTACAGCATTTTGCTATCATATCATTTTTCGAACAAACACCAGACATCCTCATGACGAAGTAACACTCGATTATTTCACTAGTAACACAGAGAACATCATGTTTCATCTACGTTATCCTCCATTCCATCATTCAGTATTTCTTGTATCACTTTGTATAGACTTCTCCGGAATTTTTTGTGTTCGAACACGATCACATATCCAACGACTATACATACAACGTTGATTCCTCGAAAAGGAATTCGTGAGTTATTCTACTTTGAATTCAGGCTATATTTCAGACCACGACGTTACAAATGTTGACCAGTTTACTTTTCGATGATTTAGGCGGTAGTAACGCAAAAATACAGGGCGAAGGAGGAGACACTTACCATCGGATCGGTGGCGAGAGCCAACCTCTCGGCCGCCTCGAGCTGCGCCTGGTGGGCGGGGTGATGCGGGTGGTTGGGCGGCCCGCCCGGTGGACCGCCACCCGGACCGCCCGGCGGCGGGGGGATGCCGAGGCGCTCCAGCCGCTCGCGCTCCATCTGCGAGAGTTGGGCGCCGCCCCCTCCGCCGCCGCCCGGGTACAGGGCGAAGTGGTGCAGCGGCAACGGACCTGAGGATGGATCACGATGGTTCATTTTTTTTTTCATCATCATCATCTATTTTATTCCAAACAATTGACGTATACGTTTAGAACAGGGAACATTAAAAATATAAACCATAATATATTACATTACATTTAAAATGTAGTAGGTATAGGTAGAGTTCCTAAATGTACCGGGTGATTCAATAAGGGTGACGAGGTACTGTATCTCAGGAACTAATAGTCGTAGAAGTTTGGGAAAAAAATTCTTTCGAGGAAATCGACCAAGAAAAACTGCTGGAAATATTTTTTGAATCCATACGTCCACCGCTAGGGGGCGTAATAGCTTCGATCGTATGAAAAATGTAATTTTTTCGAATTTTTTCCAATATAAGTTCAGAAATGAATACTCTCACGTGAATGTCATCCTAATGGTCCATCTTTTTGTTGAATAGATTTTCATTGTAGGACGTAAAATGAAGGCGGGAGGGAATGCTAAACTTTTTGGACTGTAAATGTCTATAACTTTAGTTTGACGTATCGGAAATTTGCTAACAAGGTTTTGTTCGTGAAAGGAAGGCTTGGTGAACAAATTAAAAAACCATCTATGCCATTCTGGTTATCATCGCGCTCGTTAGGGGGCGTGTTATATAAATTTAACCGTTTTTTTTCAATTTTGCTCCGAAATCTCAAATGGAACCGTATGATTTTTTTATTAGATTCCGAAAGTAGATAGAATTTGCAACACAACATGTCCAAACCGCATGGCGATATCTTCATTTGTTTAAAAGTTATGGCTCAAAGAATAGTTCATTGACGAATTTATTGATGAAACAGAATATTTCATTGAGTTTTCAATTTTTTTTTTGTAATATGCGTAGACAAGCATACCATGAACAAATAAAAAAAACGAAAAAAAAATGTCATTTAAAAACTACTATTAGTTAGTAGCGTAGGTATTAAAATTCAAATATATCCAATTTCTTAGAAATCCGTGAAAACACTTGGTAGACAGTTTCTATGGAAACGCCGATTTTTCACAAATAGACGGTTAAATTTATAAAACACGCCCCCTAACGAGCGCGATGATAACCAGAATGGCATAGATGGTTTTTTAATTTGTTCACCAAGCCTTCCTTTCACGAACAAAACCTTGTTAGCAAATTTCCGATACGTCAAACTAAAGTTATAGACATTTACAGTCCAAAAAGTTTAGCATTCCCTCCCGCCTTCATTTTACGTCCTACAATGAAAATCTATTCAACAAAAAGATGGACCATTAGGATGACATTCACGTGAGAGTATTCATTTCTGAACTTATATTGGAAAAAATTCGAAAAAATTACATTTTTCATACGATCGAAGCTATTACGCCCCCTAGCGGTGGACGTATGGATTCAAAAAATATTTCCAGCAGTTTTTCTTGGTCGATTTCCTCGAAAGAATTTTTTTCCCAAACTTCTACGACTATTAGTTCCTGAGATACAGTACCTCGTCACCCTTATTGAATCACCCGGTACATGTAAATGTCCCCCCATCTAGCTCAGTTATTTTTCAATCGCAAAATTTGGGGCATCATTTTAAATAACTTTTGATAAAGTTTTTTTCTGCTACCTCAGAAAATACAGGGTGCTCGGAACAAACGATCTACTGGGTAGTAGTTGATTTTTTCAAATGAAACATACTGTATTCCATTGCATTTCTAGACTCTCCCTGAAGAGCTGATCTCATCAATATATCACACTAGGAGTCTAGCGTGAATGATTACAGAGATATAGGGTGTTCAAAATCGAGATTTTTCAACTCAAGGATTTTTTTCTGTCGAAGCTATTCATTGAACCAACCTGCAGTGTTCCGATTAAATGTCTATAGATAGAAAATCAAAAGTTGTGTTTGGACACAAAGTTGAAAAATCTCGATTTTGAACACCCTATACCTCCGTAATTATTCCCGCTAGACCCCAAGTGTGATGCATTGATGAAATCAGCTCTTCAGGGAGAATATAAAAATGAAATGAAATACAGGGTGTCCCATTTCAAAAAATCACCTAAGTACCCTATAGATCGTTTGTTCCGAGCGCCCTGTATTTTCTGATGTAGCGGAAAAAACTTATTCAGAAACCATTTCAAATGATCCCTAGAATTTCGCGATCGGTTCAAAAATAACTGAGCTAGAGGGGGGGACATTTATGGTGAATCATCCTGTACTTGACACTGCTGTTTTGACGTTTTTTGAATATTAGAGTTCGGACACTATGACAAGCACTGACAATCAGACATAACCACAAATGAATTGATGGAAATAGCGGGAACGGACTACATGACATAAATTTGAAAGATTTGACAAATTGAGAGAATTAGGAGAAAGATGCGAGTTTGTGCAGTTTCCAACTTTGAGAACACCGGAAATCAATTCACTCTATTCGAATTTCCATCGGATAACGATAATTCTACAACAATGGAAACAGAATATGATGCATCCGGCATGGAATAATGGTTCAGGCCACAAAATTTGCGAGGTATTCAAATTCCTTGGTAGGATATAAAATATAGAACATTTTTCAACGCATTTTTATCAGGTACACTTCAGAACGAAAGATTCATGCTGAAGAATAGGATCGTATTGAGAGAAAGAGCCAAACCCACAATGTATAAACTGAGCGAGTATCGAAAAGTTTCGAACATATTTTGAAAGAAAAAGACTTGAGAATCGAATTTTTAGAGCAGGAATATTCAAAAATCCAAGGTTTACCCGTGGAAGAAAGTGAGGAATTCAGGAAACAAATAAAAAAAAATAGCAATGTGAACGGCCTACCACTCCTGTACAAGTGGAATTGTTCCATAGGAAATAAAAGTATGTTTCATAGGTTGAAATTTATCAATTTCACCCCATTCTGAACTTTTGTGATGAAAAATATTCAACTGAACGTATATATGTATATACCTACATATAAGAAACTTATTTCATAGAAATAGTATATGTATTTCGTTGGTATCGACCTCCATTGAGGTCCTTCAGCCTTATGATTCACTATTTCGAGAAAAAATAATTTTCTGATCAATTTATCGTACCCTTTTACCCACTCGAGGACATGCAATGCACTCTCATACAAAAATCAAAGACAGAGAAAGATATATGAATGTACTCTTCCCAGGACTTGTGGAGGAAGGAAGATGCAAGGATCTTTTATCTAAGCGAAAAACATATTCTTGTCCTTGTCTCCCAAAACATATGATTTGCTTCAAAATCGTTTGTGGTTATGTTTGATTGTCACTGCTTGTCTAGTGTCCCCACTCTAATATACAAAAAACGTCAGAACAGCAGTGTCAAATACATTTAGGAACTTTAGGTACAGGTATAATAATTATTCTACTAATGGCGGAGACCACTGATTTTTCAAATCGACATCATCGTGACCTCTATATTGAAAAACTACCAGTGAATTAATTTTGAATTTTTTCATTCATGCTAAGACGATGAAAAAAATAAATTAGAATATGTCCATTTCAAAACACACAATTCCTGCGCCATTCGAAATTTTGTCAATTCATTGGTGTGACTGGTGCGACGTCTTATTCCCAACACGCCTATTGTCCTTGAACTGACCAATCACGCTGCAACACTGCAGAATGACGATGTATCAGAGAGAGATAGCTACAGTTCGGGACTAATACGTCACAGCTCCACCATCATATTTGGCTTCTTGGAATATCGAAAGAAATATGCTGATTTCAAAACGATATAGATTCGATTCCCTTCAACTATAACTCATAATATTGATTGTACATAAAACGTAAATCATGATTCGTCGATTGAAAGAGGTTTGCACGGATTTCTTACCTCAGTGGTCTTCCCCATACTCAGAGTTTGAGATGATCCTTGTTTGATTGAATGAATGATTAAAATAATTGATATGTTATATGATCTCTATATGGATGACATGACAAAATTCAGACGAATAAATATCTTTCAAGTTCTTTCTTGAATTTTTTGGTACTGATATATTTTCAAGTCTTGTTGGCAGTTCATTGTAAAGAATTAATCCATTGTTATATACAGGGTGTTTCAAAAAAACCTGGGTAGGTAGAACACTGCAAAATAAGTTGGGTTGCTCAGTGGAATAATGTCGTAACGGGAATGACACATTCAGGTGGGACACCATGTACAGTAGCGACTATTTTTGAAACATGTAAAAATATCGACGCTCAAATGCAATAAAATTGCATTAAGAATTCTATAAATGCTTAGTGTCAATGATTCTGTGAATAAATTACGAGAATTACGAGAGTTGATAAATAAAAGTTATACAAATGAAAAAGAATAGATAAACAATATTAAATATCAAACAGTGAACGACAGTAAGCTACATCCACTAAATAGAGTCTATACTCTGATATGGAGGTATTCTGGTATATTGTCAAAACAGTTTTATTATAATAATTATCATTATTATGATTGAATGAATCAAGCTTACCTCCAGGTCCGGCCAGTCCGGCGGCGTACCTCCTTTGCAACTCCAACCAATGGGGATCCATCGGGTTTGGAGGTCCCCGCATGCCGCTCTTCATTATCTCCTCCTTCAATCTATCGTTCAACTCTCTTTCTCGCAGTTCTCTTATTTCTCGTTCCCGTTTTTCCCTCTCCAGGTGCTCCAATTCCAACCTAAGAAAAAATGTTTAGTTGGGATCACACAATTGAACTTTTTACCGCCATGATACGAGAGAAAGAGAGAAGAAAGTATCTTGCCTCTCCCATCTTTCTCTTCAGAACTACCAACGTAACCACATTCAAGAAGTTCGATAATTATTTTCTTGCCTACCATCTAGTATGTGTCACTGAACTATCGATGTCATATGTGATATGTCAAAAATCATTCTGGTGAGTTGAGTTAAGAATTCAATAGGTCGCGTGCACGATGACTGACCCTGGAGGTGAAATATTGAAACACAACCTCACTTTTTTTATCTGTTAACAGAGGAATCAAAGGATTGAAATAGTTTTTCACAATATTTTGGCATACGCATCGTGTTTTTGCGCTATTCATTAATTCAAGCATGTCTTCTCATTGAGGTGTTGCACAATGCACAAAAAATGCAGCGAGAGACGAAGGAGTCTGATTCTTCAGGTAAATAGTAGTCTCACATAGTTTTCATTATGAAATTTTGTCATTTCTTATAGAAATTCCTTCTGCCACTTCTGCAATTGAAGCTGATACTGCTGATTGAAAATGTCTACAACACACACGATCATTTCACGAAAATTTTTATAAGCTCCTATTGCAGAAGAAATTCCGATGAGAAATCAGACACATTAGCAAATTTCAAAATGAAAACTATATGTGAGTGACTATAGTAGGTACTTACTTTCCTTCGTCTTCCGCTGCAGTTTTTGTGCATTGTACAACAGCACAATGTGATGGCATGAGCGAATTAATGAATAGAGGAAAAATACGATTCGTATGCCGAAATAATTGTGAAAAACTATTTCAATCACTTGTAAACAAATAAGAAAAGTGAGGTTGTGTTTCAATGTTGTGCCTCCAGGGTCGGTCATCTGACAGTTCTTGCACGCAACCAGGGGTTGGAATAAGTCATGAGTTTTATAAAAGACTTTTTGAATTAATTCGGACTTTTTTGAATCAATTCATTTGAAAACGAATCAAATTCTATTTACTTGAACAAAATATAAGAACATCGAAAAAACTAAGTTTTTATTTCCGTTAAAAATCTCAAAGCGTGACAATAAAATACTTGAAATATGCAATTTTTGCAATATGAACTGAGACTATTGATTGAATGAAAAATGATGTTTATGCAAATTATATTACTCATTCACAATCTTCATTATAGAGGCGCTTTACAGTTATTTTCAATAAAATGCAGCAATATCCATGGCGCGCCTACGGATTGGTGTCATCTTGGAAAGCAATTTTTCGATGCATTGCAAGACATGAATGAGTCCGGACATATTCATTTATATTGTGGTAATTTGTATTACTGGTGCAATTCTAGTGGTGACATGTTAGATTTTCGGAATTTCAAGCATCATCAGATACACATTGGATCTTACTTTTCGTGCCTTTCTCATGGTTTCTTCTACCCAACTCTTGACCCAACTCAAAACTCGGTGAGAAGTAATACACAGAATCTATGGCAAAAAGACATTGCAAGCCGGTAATTCCGAATCAGTGTTGAAAAGCCTACATATTATTTTTGCCGGATATATGAATTGGAGCAATCGATTGCATGCAATGAAATATTGTAAACTGTAAAGCGGCTCTTAGAAAATTTTGTTTTCCGCGTGTGGTGCTTCACGGTTGTCAGTTGTCAGATGCCATCGGATATTTCATTTTAAACTAGTTTAAATTGAAGGTATTAATGCGATATGTTCCCATTTGATAAATTTCGAATTGATTCACGACTTATTTGAGAAAAGTCATTTGAATTAATTCACGAATTAAATCACTGACTTAATTCATATGAATTAATTCGTGCCAACCCTGTACGCAACCCATATCATTATTGATATTGTCATAAAGAATTTTACCTTTCCCTTGCTCCGGGACCATACATGCTGTTAAGTTGGTACTGCAGCATCGGATCCATCACGTGAGAGGGCGGTAGCAACGATCTAGGCATGTGACCTAAAAAAACGTTTTGCCCTGTAGCGATAAAAGAAATATTATTTTAATAATATAATAATTGAATAAGTTTGATAAAGAGTACATTTTCCATGTGAAATTGAACGACCTCTCAGATTTTCCACTTATTTTGATCATCAATAAATTGACATAGAAGATATGATATAAATTATCGAAGTCGCCCTCTATGAGCAATCACAAAATAAGTTGCAAATTCATATTCCTCACATCAGAAAAACTAGAAATACAAGATTTCATGTTTATGCTGTTAAAACTAACATATTGTGAAATTTTGAAATAAAATCCCCCCCCCCCCCTGGGACATTCTGTATCTCCTAAACCAGCAACATTCTCATTGGGCATATTGGACTAAATCTCATTATTTTTGTGTTTACTATCTGTAGTTCAAAGATTTCCCATTGTTAATGAATCACCCGGTATACCTTTATTTCTCTTCTCCAAACCTTTTTCAATAAAAATTGTCACTGACAAGCTAGTGAATTTTTCTTTTAGGCTCTCTGATAGGAAAATTTTTCAAAAGCAGTGACATCTTGGGGAAAATTATCTGATATATCCTTACTACACTTATAATAAAATAGTATCCATATTTTTATTTAATAGAGACGAGAGAAAATCCCAAAATGAAGCAAAAATCAACTCTTTTCGAAAATAATTCCGCACTTACCCGGACTGAAACCGGCGTGCGGCCTCGCGTACTCCGACAGCTGACGCAGCGCCGGCGTATCGTTGAATCCGGGCCGCGGGAAACGCTCGTACGGCGAGCCGACGCTCTCCATCGGGCCGCGCGACGGCGGCTTCGTCTCCGTCTTCTCCGGCGTCGTGATTTTCCGCTGCTGCGCCTGCTGGGCACGCTCGCGCTCCTCTCGCTCCTTCTCCGCCTGCTTCCGCAACCTGAAACAGATTGGATTTTCGAATCACCCAAGACAATAATCTTTGAAGAGGAACATTCTCAGATATATTTATGAACACAGAAAATGGATATAGTGTGTGCGATTTCAACCCGCAACACTCTCCTAATTCGGTACCAGTCGACTGATTTTCAGAAACAAAAATTCCATAATATGCCACTCAACGAGCTCTATTCGAAAATGTGGACAAATTTGAAATATTCTGATTTTCAAGGCCTACTTTGGTTTGTTGAAGGGGTCAAAAACCACTACCAGGCAATTTTTTTCGAAACAGTGACTTTCCTATTCGTTCCAAGCATAACTGAAATACCTCCATACGAAATTTAAACGCAAAATCTCATACAGGGTGTTAGTTATTCAATGGCAAATTTGGATAATTTTGATTTTTCGATTCACCCTGTATCAAAATCTGAGGAGTTGATGTAACCAGTGAAGTAGTTATTCGATAGAGGAACACATCGAAGACATAGATATGAAGTTTCATCGCTGTAACTTCTACAGGAAGATCTCTCTAGATCAATCTGTAAACTGTATTTCACACTCTACACCAAACAGTCACTTTGAAAATTGTCTTGTTTGATAAAGGGCTGTCGAATATAACACAAATAAAATTACAGACAAATACTCTCCAAAGACTGCTACGAGATATACTGATGTTTAATGTGATCATAATATACCGATTTTGGCGAAATGGAATGAAAATTTGAGATGACAATGAAGATTTTCATGTATTGAGAATATTTCTCCGAATTAGTCACCATTATCTATATTTTCTAGAAAAAAGTTATAAAAAACTTCGATTTCAATTTCATTAAAATATTTGTTGACCTAGAGAAATCTTCCTGTAGTAGTTACAGCGATGAAACTTCGTTCCTATGTATTCCATGTATTCCTCAATTGAATAACTACTACACTGATTATATCAACTACTTAGATTTTGATACAGGGTGAATCGAAAAATCAAAAATATCAAAATTCGCCATTGAATAACTAGAGGCGCATCTCAATTGATATAGCTATTTGAAATATTTTGGATAAATCCAAAAACATCTCATGAAATAACCAATGCTGAATGATACAATTCCATTGTTTTTAATGCATATCTCCTGTAAGACTATTTGACAAATACTCTCCTGATGATGGCCTAGAGCCGAAAACGTTTGAGTTGACTGATAAATATTGTATACTATAGCCCGAGTATTACTCATTAATATTGATTACAAATGAGTATAGCTTCAGGATCCGAAGATGAATGAACAGAACATTCTGTGTTAATCAAACTCGCAAAGAACCCAACATGGATGATAGCAAGCTGAAATTGAACGAACCTTTCTTCTCGTTTTCGCGCCAACTTAGAGTCCGGCACCGGTTTGAAGGTCAGATCTGTCCTGGTGCAGGAATTGTAGTCGCCACGGTTCCAATGACGCAAAAATCTGAAAGAAAAGAAAATACGTTTTATTATGAACATCCACACGACCTATAATTTTTTCTTTCGAAAATGTTTCAGTTATCAGATATGCCAAGTTTACGAAAATTTTCCAAATCAGTTGAAATCGGGATGGTTCCAGGAATTCAATACCAAGTTATTTTCACATTTATTCAATTCACATCAATAATCAATTCAAAATGATATTTGTCTTTGAAGAACTGGTCATATTGATGATTATTCATACGATACAAATTTGGTAAAGATCGCACGACTGTTAGCTGAGATATAGAGGGGGGCGTTTGAAATGAGACGCTGTATATGTGTGTAAAATTAATGAAAAAACGATTTTTTATGAAAACTTTTCGACACTGAAAATGCCCATCCTGTATATATAGGTACGTCACAAACCTATTGGTTTCACATGATAATGTATACATGGTTTAGATATGGTCTGAGAAACATGGGTCGGAACTCCGAAGGTTCGGGCACAGTGGCAAATGATTGATTCAAATGATTGATCGAGTCAAATGATGGAATGATTGGATGATAGGAAGCCAGCACAGGGGCTTCCTCGCGCCTTTTATATGTTCAATCAATATTTTGGATATTCCTGGTTCGTTGAAGTCAATGCCATGTCTGTGTTTATGTTCAACTACTAATCGAAAGTTCGTGGTTAAATAATTTTGGAAATAATAAACACAGACGTGACCGTTCAATGACTTCGAACCGATATAATTTCATAAGAATTTTGGAATTTGGCTTCAATATCTCCTCATTTGTGACATTATTTTACCCTTATAAGTGGCGTTCTAATCTAAAGTTTGTGGTTAAATGATTTTGGAAATAATAAACACAGACGTGACCGTTCAATGACTTCGAACCGATATAATTTCATAAGAATTTGGGAATTTGTCTTCAGTATCTCCTCATTTGTGACATTATTTTACCCTTCTAAGTGGCGTTCTAATCGAAAGTTTGTGGTTAAACGATTTTGGAAATAATAAACACAGACGTGACCGTTCAATGACTTCGAACCGATATAATTTCATAAGAATTTTGGAATTTGGCTTCAATACCTCCTCATTTGTGACATTATTTCACCCTTCTAAGTGGCGTTCTAATCGAAAGTTTGTGGTTAAATGATTTTGGAAATAATAAACACAGACGTGACCGTTCAATGACTTCGAACCGATATAATTTCATAAGAATTTTGGAATTTGGCTTCAATATCTCCTCATTTGTGACATTATTTTACCCTTCTAAGTGGCGTTCTAATCGAAAGTTTGTGGTTAAATAATTTTGGAAATAATAAACACAGACGTGACCGTTCAATGACTTCGAACCGATATAATTTCATAAGAATTTTGGAATTTGGCTTCAGTATCTCCTCATTTGTGACATTATTTTACCCTTCTAGGTGGAGTTCACTCGACGTCGAGATGATGACGTGATTATCACGTCATAGAAAGTACGTCATGGTGACGTCATAAATTGATGTGTGACGTCTCTGACGAAAAATCACGAATTAGGTACGTCACAGTGACGTGATCATTCGTCATCTGGTTGCCTCGGTTTCATTCAGAAGCAATAAAGACATGTATTATTATACTCACATAGCACTCTGACTCCGATGACACTCCGTATCTTCGATCCGCGGCTCGGGCGACGGACCTCGAGGCGGCGCTGCCGGGCTGCTCTGGCCCCCCTCCTCCTCCGCGCCGCCGCTGCCGCCCCCCGACCCCGCCTCCTCCGGCTCCACCTTGATGGCGTCGTCGGCCTGCGCCTTGGGCGTGGGCGGGTTCATGGGCGACGAGGGCGGGTGCATGATGCCGCCCTGTTGTTGTTGTTGCTGCTGCATGTTGGCAGCCGCTTGGGCGGCGTGGGCTCGCAGGGCGTCCAGCGAGCTGCTGCCCATCGACGGGGGGCCTGAGACACATAATAGAATAGAATAGAATAGAACATTTATTACCCTTTTGCCATGTACATGTAGGTTCGTCAGTTACGGTTTATGAAACACAATACATGAGTTATTCGAGAAAACATATAACATTCAAAAGATATATACATTTTAGGCTGGTTAGCGACAGATGCAGAATATAATGTAGTTAGTTATGTAGGTAACGTTAAGTTAGAAAAATGCACAGATAGGTGGTAATCATTTCATGGATGTTAAATGCATTTGAAATTCAGAAACATCATAGAAACTATTTTAGGTTAGAATTTTTTTAAGATCATTCTTGAATCTCTTCAGAGATTGATTTTTTATTGATTCAGGCAGTAAGTTGTAGAGATGACTCCCGCTATATTTCGGAGATTTTTTGTACTCCATATGATGAAACTTTTCCATATAAATATGATTGTGATTTCTAGTGGTGTATTTGTGAATTTCTGAACATTTCTTTAGATGGTGTTTGCTTTTATGGATGTGACACAATAATTTCAATATGTAAATGCTGACCACTGTTAATATTCCATGTTTTTTTAAGTGATTTCTACAGGAATCTTGATACTTTAAGTTGAAAATGAGACGAATAATACGTTTTTGTAGAGTAAAGACTCTGCTTATATGTGGAAATTCAGCAATTTTTCAAATACAGGGTAACTCACGGTCCATGGTACGTTAGACGTTTTATGGAGAACGGGACATAGGATCATTCTGAAATTTTGGTTACTCACGTAGTTGCTCTTGGTCTATCGATCTAAAATATTTTCAGCTCTGCGGCGTTGCCGCTTCTATCGAAAAGTAGCAACAACTTTGTTATTTTAAATGGAACACCCTGTATTTTATTGCATTTTCAGATTCTCTCTGAAGAGCTGATTTCATCGATGTATCACACTTGGGGTCTAGCGGAAATGATTACAGAGATATAGGGTGTGAAAAATCGACATTTTTCAACTTTAGGAATTTTTTTTGTCGAAACTATTCATTATTGGTCAAAACGGCTCACATGTCCCTATCTCAACTTTTGATCAACTATCTACTGACATTTAATTGAAACAAATACAGGGTGGTGCAGAATTCAGAATCTTGATCACCCGGTATATGTCCCAATTAAATATCAGTAGATAGTTAATCAAAAGTTGAGATAGGGACATGTGAGCCGTTTTGACCAATAATGAATAGTTTCGACACAAAAAATTCTTCAACTTGGAAAATGTCGATTTTTCACACCCTATATCTATGTAATCATTTCCGCTAGACCCCAAGTGTGATTCATCGATGAAATCAGCTCTTCAGAGAGAATCTGAAAATGCAATAAAATACAGGGTGTTCCATTTAAAATAACAAAGTTGTTGCTACTTTTCGATACAAGCGGCAACGCCGCAGAGCTGAAAATATTTTAGATCGATAGACCAAGAGCAACTACGTGAGTAACCAAAATTTCAGAATGATGCTATGTCCCGTTCTCCATAAACGTCTAACGTACCATCGACCGTGAGTTACCCTGTATAGCAAACATATTTATCATTTCGTCATCCATTTTATTTATTTATTTATATATTTGGGTTTACGCCACCTCAACAGCTGATGCATTAAGCAGGGTGGGGAAAATACAGTGAGCACAAATTACAATACAATGAATAAAATAGCTTCAAGAAAACGTCTCTGTACCTTCTTGATATTATTCAAGTGGACATTATAGCCTGGAGACCAAATAATGGAGGCGTATTCAAGTTTAGTTCTCACAAATGCGTCAAACAGGAGCTTGAGAGTATTAGGGTTAGTGCACTGCTTGGAATTCCTGAACACAAAGCCAAGAGTTTCATAAGCAGACACAAATCTGGTGGTGCTTGGGGTCGGAGATAATGATTCTTTCGTCAAAATTAGAAAATTCAAGATGGCGGACCCAATATGGCGGACGAGTATTATAATTATGATCCGACTCTCTTCAAAATTGTTATCTGGGTGTTTTCAAGGTCGGAGATTATGATTATTTTGTCAAAATTTGTAAATTCAAGAAGGTTCTAGTAATTATATATCGATACTATTCGAAATTTGTAAGTGGGCGTTTTCGGAATGAAAAATTATGATTCCTTCGGCAAAATTAAGGAATTCAAAATGGTAGATCTAATATTGCGGATGAGTTTTGTAATAATGTTCCGATTCTATTGAAAATATTCAACTGGGGTTTTAGGAGCCAGATATTATGATTCTTTCGTCAAAATTGGAAAATTCAAATGAACTAGAAAGAAGTTGAAATAATTGGTAGTAAGAAGAACTAAAGAAACACGCTTTTGTAGATAGCGAAATTAAAGAGAAGTAGGAAATAAAATGATAATAGTGTCTTGATGAATATTGAATATTGGTTGAGTTCAAAAAACAGCTTAGGCTGACACTCCGCCCTTTCACCAATATTTATTGTAATATCCATTGTAATGTCCACTTGGACCCTTGTGTGTATGTTCTTTGGTGAATAAAGACGTAATATTATTATTATAATTAAATATAAACTACTCAACACTAAATTTTCCCAAAATTTTCTTCCTGTTAAAATATGAATAACTTTTTTCTGTTTGGAACAATTTGAATTAGGATTTCACTGTTTGCTAGTCCAGTTCTTCAGCTATATTCTCGTACTTCTTCAGAACATGAGATTCTTTATATAAAATCGCTACAGGGTGTCAACTGTGAAAAATTTCGAAATTTTCAAAAGGATCCCAAATGAACAAAAACTTTTTTTTTCAACTTCGACAGCAGAGGCATGAAGATGATCTCATTACCTAGGGATATTTTTCAAATTGTCTTCTTATCTCTTTTATTTACAGAGTGATCTCAAAAAATCAACTTCCTGGTTTTGCAGTCATAACTTTTTTCCTTGTCAACCCGTTTTTAAAATCTCATTTTGAAGCTGAAACTTCAGATGAAGAGATATGAAGATCAGGATTGACTCAAGGTGAACATTATACAGTGTGTCTCACTTCTGATGTTTCATAATTGTTGAGTTAGGATTCTGAAACTTACAGGAGCAGGAGATATACTGAAAATAAACACTATGACCAAGTGGGGTCATCTCCAGTGATGAACACTGCTCGCCAACAGCCATGGAACCACCCAAATTTCCGGAAAATGTTATTAGGAGCCAAGATAGGTTGAAAATCACTTCGGATTCGAAATCAGGACGTCCAATTCACTGACTATACATATTTTTCCTGGAAAATTTTCAGTTCAGAAAAATTCAATTTTGTCTCACTTCTCATATGGAAGCACCCCCGTATCTCACGTAATTATTGAGGCAAGTTTCTGAAATTTGCAGGAGGAGGCGAAAGGGACGTCCTGATTTTGAGTCATAAGATTTTAAACCTATCTTTTGCCTCCTTATATCATTTTTGTGGGTGGTTCCATGGCTGTTGGCCAGCAGTGTATATCACTGGAGACGACTCCACTTGATCATAATGTGTATTTTCAGTATATCTACCGCTTTTGCAAATTTCAGAATCCTAACTCAACAATTACGGAAGATACAGGGGTGCTTCCATTAGAAGTGAGACACACTGTATAATGTTCATCTTGAGTCAATTCTGATTTCTATATCTCTTAATCTGAAGTTTATGTTTCAAAATGAGATTGAGATTTCAAAAATCGGTTGATGAGGAAAACAGTTATGACTGCAAAACCAAAAAGTTAATATTTTGAGATAGCTCTGTAAATAAAAAAGATAAGGAGACAATTCGATAACTATCCCAAGATAATGGGATCATCTACATGCCTCTACTGTCAGACTTGAAAAAAAAAGTTGTTCTCCATTAAGGATACTTTTGAAATTTCCGAAATTTTGCAGTTTCAGGTAACACCCTATAGCGATTTTATGTGAATAACCTCATGTTTCAAAGTATCACCAAATGATAGCAGAAGAACTGGACCAGCGAACAGTGTGATCCGAATTCGAATCGTTCAAAGCAGAAAAAAGTTATTCATATTTCAACAGAGGCAAAATTTCTCGATGCGACGAAATTAGTGTTGCATAGTTTATTATAGAAATAATGTATATACAAAACAACGTTTGCGAGGTCTGCTAGTGAATAAATAAAATTCTCACCTAAGGGCGGAGGATGATGACCCATATTAGGCGGCTGTATCATCAGATGATGCGGATTAGCCTGCTGCTGCTGCTGTTGTTGCTGCTGTGGCGTCGGCTGCTTCGGAAGCATCCCTCCGTGCCGCATCATCTGGTTGCCGGGCGACATCCTATCATGATGGTGGGTGTGGTGGTGTGTGTGCTGGTGATTGCTAGTCGACGAAGAAGAAGAAGAGGAACTGTGGTTCGAGTGGTTGAGAGCGGCGGTGGCGCTTTGAGAAGAAGAGGGAACGTGTGCCACGTGCGGAGACGCGCTGCGCACCGTTTTCTGGTTGACTTTGTGCTGGACGCTTTGGCTGCAACGAATTAATGGGATAGAACATCAACTATCTTGTTTCTTCACATTGTTCACGGAAATCCCGATTTGTTGTGGCACAAATAAGTTGATTAAACCCAATATATTTATATACCAAAATTGTCCGTTTGTCTGTGAGTAGAGTTCAAAATTCACATAAAGAAACACACTTTTAAACGTGTGAAGAAGTCAATATTGCTCAAAGTGGAGTGGTAGTGTTCAAAGGAAGAATAAATCTCGAAATCATCTCCACGACATTTAATGGGTGAACAAAGTTATGTTGCAAAAGGGGGGGACATGTTACGGGCTTATAATAAGCCCATCATCAGCCAAGGTTCATAAAGTCCTACAAAAGTCTGAACTTGTAACAGGAATATGGTAATAGTTGTTATTACTTACTTATTTTTCATCCTCATGTAAGAAGGCACATATAGCTTTATCTAGTTTGAATGTAGTTACGTCGCGAAATGAGAATTTCGTACTAATTAATAACGAAAGAGATAACATCATAATTTTTTCTTGTGATACAAACATCAACATTGTTAAAGACGTGTCACGTATTTACATAGATGGTACTTTTAGGTACTGTACAAAATTCTTCACTATACACGGTTTTGTAAATGGAAGAAACATACCGCTTATTTATTGTTTGCTTCTAAGTAAGAGCGTGGAAATATACACAAAACTATTTCAACTAGTCATAGGAGCGTGTTTGTCAGAAGGAATTGATTTAAATATTATAGAGGTAGTTGTAGATTTTGAGAAAGTCATACACCTTGCTATATTAAACACTTGGCCTAATGCTAAAATTGTTGGTTGTAGGTTTCACTTGTCTCAGGCATGGTACCGAAAAATTCAAACTTGTGGTTTGGTACCGGAATAGAAGCATGAGGCAAGTGAAACAGGGAAATGGTAAATATTGACTTTTGCACTCATGTATCTCGATCCGACCAAAGTAGGTGAGTGTTTTGCTCTTGAATTGTCTGAAAATATGCCCCAAGACCCCCGAGTTGTAAAATATGCCGACTATTTAGTAGATACTTTGGGCAGAACATTCATCTACCATCACTCGTACAACAAATGCTTGTGAGTCTTTTCACAGTAATTTCAACAACTCCATATATGCTGAAAACCTAACCTATTCCTTTTGTTGAAAGAGTTTCAAACCGACACATATATTGAAATTCGAAGTGTTCAAAAACCTATACAAATTCATGACAGGAAAGTTAAAAAAAGACAGATATTTATTGAATTAATGATTATCAAATACCGAACCTATTAACCTACCCAAAATTATAAAAATAACAAATAAATAATAAGGCTCGGTGCCCAAAATGCAATTTTTGTAATGAGGACATTTTGGGTCGGTGCCCAAAATACATGTTGAATTAGTCCATTCATTGCCTTGGTGCCCAAAATGCAAACTCCCAATTTCCAACGCACCAACTTTCGATACAGCGAGAAGAAAATAGTATATTGTGCAACAAGTGGGAAAAGTTCAACTTTTCTCACGAGTGTGAAAGTTTGTGGCACGAGCCTGAAGGGCGAGTGATGCAAACACACGAGTGAGAAAAGTGCTTTTCCCCACATGTTGCACACTATACTTTTTCTACAACTGCACTTATTCAAAGAATCCGAGTAATGTAGCTTATTGGTATTCATTTTATAATGTGGCACTATGCCACATTGAATATTGTGACCAAAGAGTAGACGCCTTTCCTAGTTCCTCAAAGTATTTCGAAAAAGTACACTTTCCGAAAAAGATTTTATTTCTGTATTTTTCAACTTTTGCAGCTTCTTCCCTTATCTCTGTCTATGGCGGTGTATTTATCAAAATCGGCACATCTCGGTATATACATCATATTATTTATTATGAATTGTTAGAGTAATATTTGATGGAAAATGCGATTTCTGTCAAAAGCACTAATGAGAACTACCCTAAAGAATTTAAAAAACTTCTTCTGACAGTTGTGACAACTATTCAAAGCTGAACAGCAGCCAAGTTTTGGTCGATTTTTGTTGATTCTCCATGGAAATGTATGTGGTGTCGGCAAAATGCTGTGGGAAAAAATATTTCTCACAGTATGAGCAATACATGGTTTTGAAACTAAGTTAGCTATGAGAAATGCGCAACTTTTCATAGCATAGTAGTAGAAACACGATCTTACCTGGAGCTGGTCGACGTACTATGCGATATCGTGATGCTGTGACTGGCGCCGTAGTTGTGCTTCTCGACGGTGGCATGGACCGAGCTGTTGTGCGACGTGCTCTGGTGATTGGTCAACGTCATCTCGTGCGTGCGATGTCGCTCCGCCCCCGTCTCGTCCTGTTCTCGCGTGTCTCGCTTCGCTGTCAACGTGCTGCTCGTGCTGTGCTGCGACTGCATCAAGGTGGCGCTCACCGTGTCTGAGATGGACGGCGAAACAAAAAAAAAACAATCACCTTACGATAGGAGCATGGTGGAAATATACAGTGTCGCCATTTAAGTGTGCAACATATGGAAATCTTTTTATTGAATTGGACAACCAAAATACAGAAAGTGCCAAGAGTTGGTGCATGTTCAGTGAACATTTTAGGTGCACTTAAAATGGTTGCAAGTCAAACAGCATACAAGGTAGGTCGAAAAATATGAAAATTGTTCAAGAGTAAAGTAACGTTATTTCAGAAAATTCAGCAAAATGTTGATGAGAAAAGTTGCTTGCAAATGAAAGTTATGCCAAAAGACCAAAGCATGGCCTCCTAAGACATATTTGAGTTTTCAAATTCCTTTCGTTGATAATATCCCAATTTGTAATTTTTTCATATCTACCCTCAACACTTCCATGAGTTAATGATAACAAAATCAGTTGATCATACCTTTGTTCAAATTCAAGCATATTTGTGCAATTAACTTGGATTTGAATTTTCTCAGGGAATCACAATCTTTATGTTTGTTGCAACGATATTTAGCTTAACTTTGAAATTTCGCAAACCATATTTTTAACAAGGTAAAACGTCATTGATGATGATCTGCAAATCCAAAAACTGTCATTCAATGTGAACATTTTGTATTCGAAATGTTCATAAAGAAGCTGTACAAATCAATCGATAACCATGATATCATCTGAAATAATCACGAATACCCAAGGAACAAAACAAATGAGCGTTGACAGTAGACATTAAGACAGTTTGGTGACATTTACTTCTCATCTAATGATGTTTAACTTTGTTGAAAATATGGTTTGCGAAATTTTGAAGTTGAGCTGAATATCGTTGCAACAAACATAAAGTTTGTGATTCCTTAAAAAAGTAAAAATCCAAGTTGATTGTACTGATATTCTTGAATTTCAACAAATGTATTCCCAACTGATGTTCTTATGATTGACTCATGAAAGTGTTTAGGGTGAAAATGAAGAAAAATACAAATTGGGAAATTAAAAACGAAAAGAATTGGAGAACTAAAAAATGTCGTAGGAGGACATACTCTGGTATTTAGGCATAACTCCCAATTGTTAACAACTTTTCTCAATAACATTTGACTAAATTTTCCGATATAAGGGTACGTTACTCTTGAGCAATTTTAAAATTTTTCGACCTACCCTGCTGTTTGACTTGCAACCATTCAAAGTGCACCTAGAATGATTATCGAACATGCACCAACTTTCGGCACTATCCGTATTTCGGTTGAGCTATTCATTAAAAAGATTTCCATATGTTACACACTTAAATGACCACACTGTGTATGGTGTGCTACTCAGGTATCTTGAATTCGTATTTTCTGCGCATAACGTCATTGCGAGTCTATACTCGCACCAAACTGATCACGGCGACTCAGGCGAACTGATAACTGTGAGCTCAGACTGCTAGCAATTGTTTTACTCGCAGTGACGTATTCGAAGCATATACGTATTGATAATCAATACGGATAATCTCTATCTGTTTCCATAGCGAAACATGAAGCCGATTTTTGAAGACAAATGACTATCCATAAGGAAAAGTTTTGAAACGATCAGACACATACTGCTTTGATTGAGAGGCTAGTAAACGTCATTTTCCACCGAAACGCATGTCTTTGATGACTACTATAATAGCGCATGGCGCATGCGTATCATGCCACCAAATCCTATTCATTTGTTTCATATTTTTGGCTTCATCCTGGCACCCGTTATGATCCGTATTGTTTATTAATACGTATATGATTCGAAGATGCGTCGTAGCACACCATACTAATTCCACCATGGATAGGAGGTTTGTTCGCGTTCACAAAATCAACATTCCTAAACCATCAGAAGCATGAGTAGGGTTAAAAAAGTGTTTGCGTTTTTCCAGGACTGTTTTGTATTCGATATTCATTCGTTTCATCTGGTATAATTTTCTGGAGGTTCAGAATAAACCCTAAAACTTTTGCGTTCGAAGTTTTTCTCTATCTTCAATGATGAACCTTGTAGAAGCTGTTCAAATATACGGAATGACCCTGTACACAAAATTTCTTGTCGATCATAATAAACTGATATTATTATTCCCGAAAATTCCAAAAATCTAAACAAAACCCCAGTAAACCTACTCACCTATCGACTTCGGCGGGCCGCCCATATCCGGCCGGCTGCTCGGCGGCGGTATCGCGTGCGGCTGCCCCACCACCGGATACGAGTAGGGCGAATAGGAGAAGGGGTAGGCGGCGTAGGGATGGTGGCCGGGGAACTGCATGTGCAGGAAGGAGGGGTGGACGAGGTGGTGGGGATGGTGGTGCGGGGAGGAGGGGGGATGCATCGCGCCGTAGTGGGGCGGGTGGGTGGTAGGGTGGTGGGGCAGCGAGGGCGGGGCCGACGTGGGGCTGATGAGGTTCAGCGCCGAGTGGGGCGAGTTGGTGCCTGCAAGAGAAAACAGGGGGGAGAAAAGAGATTAGTTTCGAAGATAGATAGATAGATAGATTTATTTGACTATGTAGCTCATACAAAAATGGTTTATAGCAAGTGAGTTTAAAAGCACACATGTATTGAATTATTATACAGTATGGTGGAAATGTATGGAATAAATTCATTATCTCTAACGCATATGAATTTGAAAAAAAATCCTGAGACAGGTCGATTTTTATTTTCAAACTGACACCTCTTGATATACATACGGAGTTTGTAACGTCATCCGCGTAGTTGTGGTGACGTCATCGATTATTTTTCAAATGGAAACATCCCCTTTTGATTTTAATTTTCGGAAGGTAATTTCATTGTCCATCCAACCATATACTGATATTAGCAAAATAAAGAAATACAGGGTGAGAAAAAATTATTAATTATTTTATATTTACAACGGAAACAATTACAATTGTTCAGGCAAACTTTCTTCGCTGTCATAATGACATAATCACGCGACTTGTGGGATTTGTCATCCGTGAATTAAATTGTCAATAATATCACGCTCGGCATAAATTGCATTCAGCAGTCGAATTTCGTCTTCTTTACCGAACGGCGTGCTTTTTTTCCTTTTTGGTTTCAATTGCGTTTCTGTGCTCATTATTATGATGCAGTTTATAATTGAAACTCAATGTGACAAATTCAATTGACAACTTCAGATGTGTGAAAATAGTTCATTCAAACCAAATTTAGTGCCGTCGATATGACGAAAACGGTTAGCTAATTCAAGAAAATGCAAGAGACTGAAATGTATGATTTTTTAGTGGCCAATTCAACGATGATGTTTGATTTCAAATTTTTTTGGAGGAAATAGAAAATGTTTGCCATCAAATCTGTATGCAACCCTCATTCACCCCTTTCGATTCGAGTTACCTTATTTTTGAATCAAGAAATGAATAGATCGTCTAAAAATACAAGTGCCTGTGAATTTTCAAAATATTTGATGCATAATTGTAGCCACAATTCAAAATTTAAGATTTTTTTTGCGCATCTTGCGATGTCTGTAGCTTGGAGGGGGTGGATTTTAGGACACATGTTTATAGGAAAAAAAAGTCTTATTTTGACCCCAGGAATATGTCATTGAAATATTTGTATTGAATTATGTAACACTCTGTATATATGAATCTTTAGGTAAAGGAAGTTTGCTAACACTTTATGTAACGCATCAGACTTTTTGGCGATATCAAAGTAGACTTTTTGATAAAGTCGACTTCCTCCCAGATATCGCGTGTTGTGAGTGTGTGTGTGTGTGTGTGTGTTGTGATGTTATGTAGAAAAAAAAATACAAGAATGTATGAAACCGTCAGAAAGCATATACGCATCGAAAGTCCGTTCGTACTCGCCTTGCTGTCTCAATGGCGGCGTTCTCGACACCTGTTGCTGCTGCCCGCCCGAGGTGGGCGTGCCCCGGCTGCCCCCCGAGGAGGAACCGCCCTTCGGCGTCACGCACTTCTCCTCTCTGATCGGCTTCGGGCTGGGTCCGGTGCTGGACGGCCGGTACTCCGGCTCCTTCTTGATGTGGTCGACGGCGGGACCGGAGGAGGGGCGGTCGTTTCGGTCTCTGTCCGACGGTTGGGCGGTTGGTGGTTGCGGGGGCGGCAGGTAGCCGGGGATCTGGAAAAGCCGTTTGTGTGAAAATAGTGAATAGCCGATATTTATTCTATTTAACTAGTTGAGCGCCGCCGTACAAGGAAAAAATCTGGTCCCAGATGACCAAATTTTTTTTTATCGGTTCTGACATAATTGAGCATCACCGTTTATGTCTCTCCACGAATTTTGTCGATTTGTGATTTAGTTCTTTTTTCATAGGCCTTTTTGTCTGAGGCATGCCTTGTATGCCGCGCGGCCTGTGGGAATTATCATATGGTATAGGGCCATGCGACATACATGTCATGTTCAGTTCAGTTGCATACATTTCAGTTCATTATCTTTCCATCTCATGAGATGCAATATATTCCGTTGTTTGTAATGTTCTTGAATAAAAAATGCAAAAATCAAATGCTAAAAGTACCTACCAAAACAAGACCATCCTCCACTTTCAAATTGAAATATCAAAAAAAAAATCGAAAATAAAAAATATTCACGGGCCAAGACCATAGCATGGTTCGTCAGGCCACACTTTTCAAGCCCCAATTTGATTTGTACAGTAGTGAGGCATCTCTACGATACCACACCAGAAAATATAACGCGCACTATACCTCACGGCGCTCAACTGGTTAATCATTTATTTATTGAACAAATGACTTCCATTTTTTTTTTGGATGTATGATAAATTGATATTCATCATACAGGACGTGGAAAGAAATTCTGAATTGAGAAAACCTAATCACGAATCTGCGATTGAGGTCTATGAAAATAACCCCTTGATTGGGTGACAGTATTGAGAAGGAATATTCTCAGATATACAGGCTGATTCACGGTGGATGGCACATTAGACGTTTCTGGTGAACCAGACAACAAATCATTTTGAAAATTCAATGGAGGGCATATTCGGACATTCTGTAGCCAACTAAAATATTTTCGACAATGCGGTGTTGCCGCTTCTATTAGAAAGCAGTAGCAACTTTGATTTTTCAAATGGAACACTCTGTATTTTATTGCATTTTTAGATTCTCCCTGAAGAGCTGATTTCATCGATGTAACACACTTGGGGTCTAGCGGAAATGATTACAGAGATATAGGGTGTGAAAAATCAACATTTTTCAACTTTAGGATTTTTTTGTGTCGAAACTATTCATCATTGGTCAAAACGGCTCACATGTCCCTATCTCAACTTTTGATTAACTATCTACTGATATTTAATTGGGACATATACCGGGTGATCAAGATTCTGAATTCTGCACCACCCTGTATTTGTTTCAATTAAATTTTAGTAGATAGTTGATCAAAAGTTGAGATAGGGACATGTGAGCCGTTTTGACCAATAATGAAGTTTCGACAAAAAAAATTCCTAAAGTTGAAAAATGTCGATTTTTCACACCCTATATCTACGTAATCATTTCCGCTAGACCCCAAGTGTGATACATCGATGAAATTTGCTCTTCAGGGAGAATCTAACAATGCAATAAAATACAGAGTGTTCCATTTGAAAAATCAAAGTTGCTACTGCTTTCTAATAGAAGCGGCAACACCGCATTGTCGAAAATATTCTAGTTGGCTAGAGAATGTCCGAATATGCCCTCCATTAAATTTTCAAAATGATCCGTTGTCTGGTTCACCAGAAACGTCTAATGTGCCATCCACCGTGAATCAGCCTGTATTTATGAACACAAAAAAATGGAGACATATACAGGGTCACGGTGGATGGCCTATTAGAAGTATCTGGAGAACGAAAAGACAGAACATTCTGAAAATTGGGATGCTTTGATAATTGAACATTCTCTATTCGTCTAAAATGTTTTCATCGATACAGTGTTGCCACTTCTATCAGAAACAACACACAACAACACAGTACTTAAGCTAATGGCACTAATGGGATTGAGTCAACTGAGTGAGAATTAGGTTTGTTTTCCCCCAGTTTTGACGTGGCTTTAACATGGAACGATGAAGACCGAGCGCCACCTGGTAACATTGATTCCCGCGAATACTACCAAAACACGAAGGACCGTGTTCGACATCGTTCACTTTAATGATGAAGATGAAGGAAAGCCATAATTTCGAGTGACAACGGAAAATGAAAAAAACTCCACCGCCCCGCGTGATAATCAAACTCACAACCTGGTGGCGATTTTACTAAATATACTGCACGCTAGCACAAACCACGCCCACCATAATACGTCATATCTCCAAACATTACCGATATACTCGGAGTCAGCACATCGCACTAAATATACTGTGCTCCAACGCAAGAATACACTTTTTATGATTTTGACACGAATTCGGCGGAAGCTCTCTCGTTGTCAATCTCTTGTACGCAGTAAATTCATATACCCAAATGGTCTAATGGTTAGCGCTGTCGACTTTCAGTCTGGAGGTCCATGGTTCGAATCGCTGTGAACTTGAACTTTTTTTTGTAAATCTTTTTTTTCACCAAATGTTTTTTTACTTCATTCTGGTTCTCCTTTTTCAGAAAATATTTGAAGTCAAATAGGTTAGTGCGTTTAGGATAAACAGTCTCATTTCATTCAATTTTGTTGAAGAACTTAACTTTTGAAATATATTATTAATCAATGTGTTTCTACACTATATTCTGGTTTTCCTTCCTCAAAAATATGGCAATCAGGGATAGGTTAGTTCGTTGAGGATAAATAGTCTCCGAGTTTTGCTTAAGTACTTCGAAGATGAGATATTACGGTGGGCGTGGTTTGTGCTAGCGTACACTATATTTAGTAAAATCGCAACCTGGTGTGTGATGAGAACTCGGCCTTCCTGCCGATTGATCGACGGATCCCGTTAGCTCAATTGGCAGAGCGTTGGGCATGTAACCCATAGGTTGTGAGTTCGACTCTCACAAGGGGCGGTGGAGTTTTTTCATATTCCGCGTTGTCACTCGAAATTAGGGCTTTCCATCATCTTCATTATTATATGTATCTTTTCGGTCGAGTAACCGACAAAAAATTATCGCTCACTTCTATGTATCGTTTACCTTGACGTCCTTCAAGCTTTGCAGTGGGTCGCCCATGGGCGGCTGCAGATGCCCTGCTGGCGGAGGCGCGAACCCGACAGCGTTCGCAGACAGGCCTTGCGAGGTGGGCGGTATGGAGAGGCTCGAGGGCGGCAGTTGACCCTGCCCCGGGCCTGGGGGCAGCACGTTCTGCGCGTAACTGCGAAAAAAATCGTTCTTCTACAAGCGGCATCGAAAGTGACTCTATTTACAACCATATATTATGTAGTTCTCATTACTAACGTCATTGAAGGTTGGGAAGTGTCACATTACACACCTCTACTTCCCGCCCCTCACTACTTCCCGCCCTCATTCATGTAATAATTCCTGAAAATCGGGAAAATTGCATTTTTGCAATTTTCAGGGAAAATTGTAAAAATTGCATTGTTGCTTTTTTGCGATTTTTGCAATTTTCAGAAATTTTTCTAATTTTCAGTAATTTTTCAAATTTTTAGGAATTTGTGCAGTTTCTGCAATTTTTGAAATTTTCAGGAATTTCTGCAATTTTCAGGCATTTTTGCGATTATTGCAATTTTCGGAAATTTTTGCGATTTTTGCAATTTTCAGGAATTTTTGCCAATTTCAGGAATATTTGCAATTTCTGCAATTTCAAGTCATTTTTGCGATTTTTGCAATTTTCAGTCATTTTTGCGATTTTTGCAATTTACAGGAATTTTTGCGATTTTTGCAATTTTTGCAATTTTTGCTATTTCTGCAATTTTCAGGCATTGTTGCGATTTTTGCAATTTTCAGGAATGTTTGCGATTTTTGCAAATTTCACAGTTTTCAGGAATTTTTTGCGATTTTGGCAATTTTCAGGAATTTTTGCGATTTTTGCAATTTTCAGTCATTTTTGCGATTTTTGCAATTTTCAGGAATTTTTGCGATTTTCGCAATTTTCAGTCATTTTTGCGATTTTTGCAATTTTCAGGCATTTTTGCAATTTTTGCAATTTTCAGGAATTTTTGCGATTTTTTCAATTTTCAGGAATTTTTGCGATTGTTTCAATTTTCAGGAATTTTTGCGATTGTTTCAATTTTCAGGAACTTTTGCGATTTTTGCAATTTTCAGGAACTTTTGCGATTTTCGCAATATTCAGGAATTTTTGCGATTTTTGCAATTTTCAGACATTTTTGCAATTTTCAGGAATTTTAGCGATTGTTTCAATTTTCAGGAATTTTTGCGATTTTTGTAATTTTCAGGAATTTTCGCGATTTTTGCAATTTTCATGATTTTTTGCGATTTTTGCAATTTTCAGGAATTTTTGCGATTTTTGCAATTTTCAGGAATTTTTGCGATTTTTGCAATTTTCAGGCATTTTTGCGATTTTTGCAATTTTCAGGCATTTTTGCGATTTTTGCAATTTTCAGGCATTTTTGCGATTTTTGCAATTTTCAGGCATTTTTGCGATTTTTGCAATTTTCAGGCATTTTAGCGATTTTTGCAATTTTCAGGCATTTTTGCTAATTTTTCAACTTTCATGATTTTTTGCGATTTTTGCAATTTTCAGGAATTTTTGCGATTTTTGCAATTTTTGCAATTTTCAGGAATTTTTGCGATTTTTGCAATTTTCAGTCATTTTTGCGATTTTTGCAATTTTCAGTCATTTTTGCGATTTTTGCAATTTTCAGGCATTTTTGCGATTTTTGCAATTTTCAGTCATTTTTTGCGATTTTTGCAATTTTCAGGCATTTTTGCGATTTTTGCAATTTTCAGGCATTTTTGCGATCTTAGCAGATTTCATGATTTTTTGCGATTTTTGCAATTTTCAGTAATTTTTGCGATTTTTGCAATTTTCAGGAATTTTTGTGATTTTTGCAATTTTCAGTCATTTTTGCGATTTTTGCAACTTTCATGATTTTTTGCGATTTTTGCAATTTTCAGTCATTTTGCGATTTTTGCAATGTTCAGGCATTTTTGCGATTTTCGCAATTTTCAGCATTTTTGCGATTTTTGCAATTTTCAGGCATTTTTGCGATTTTTGCAATTTTCAGGAACTTTTGCGATTTTCGCAATTTTCAGGAATTTTTGCGATTTTCAGGAATTTTTGCGATTTTTGCAATTTTCAGGAATTTTTGCGATTTTTGCAATTTTCAGGAATTTTTGCGATTTTAGCAATTTTCAGGAATTTTTGCGATTTTTGCAATTTTCAGGCATTTTTGCGATTTTTGCAATTTTCAGGAATTTTTGCGATTTTCGCAATTTTCAGGAATTTTTGCGATTTTCAGGAATTTTTGCGATTTTGCAATTTTCAGGAATTTTTACGATTTTTGCAATTTTCAGGAATTTTTGCGATTTTGCAATTTTCAGACATTTTTGCAATTTTCAGGAATTTTTGCGATTTTTGCAATTTTCAGGCATTTTTGCGATTTTTGCAAATTTCAGGCATTTTTGCTACTTTTGCAACTTTCATGATTTTTTGCGATTTTTGCAACTTTCATGATTTTTTGCGATTTTTGCAATCTTCAGGAATTTTGCGATTTTTGCAATTTTCAGGAGTTTTTGCGATTTTTGCAATTTTCAGGAATTTTAGCGATTTCTGCAATTTTCAGGAATTTTTGGGATTTTTGCAATTTTCAGCAATTTTTGCGATTTTTGCAATTTACAGGAATTTTTGTGATTTTTGCAATTTTCAGTCATTTTATGATTTTTGCAATTTTCAGGCATTTTTGCGATTTTTGCAATTTTCAGGAATTTTTGCGTTTTTGCAATTTTCAGGCATTTTTGCGATTTTTGCAAATTTCAGGCATTTTTGCGATTTTTGCAATTTTCAGGAATTTTTGCGATTTTTGCAATTTTCAGGAATTTTTGCGATTTTTGCAATTTTCAGGCATTTTTGCGATTTTTGCAATTTTCAGGCATTTTTGCTATTTTTTCAACATCATGATTTTTTGCGATTTTTGCAATTTTCAGGAATTTTTGCGATTTTTGCAATTTTCAGGAATTTTGCGATTTTTGCAATTTTCAGGAATTTTTGTGATTTTTTCAATTTCCAGGAATTTTTGCGATTTTTGCAATTTTCAGGAATTTTGCGATTTTTGCAATTTTCAGGCATTTTTGCAATTTTCAGGAATTTTTGCGATTTTCAGGAATTTTTGCGATTTTTGCAATTTTCAGGAATTTTTGCGATTTTTGCAATTTTCAGGAATTTTTGCGATTTTTGCAATTTTCAGGAATTTTTGCGATTTTTGCAATTTTCAGGAATTTTTGCGATTTTTGCAATTTTCAGGAATTTTTGCGATTTTTGCAATTTTCAGGCATTTTTGCGATTTTTGCAATTTTCAGGCATTTTTGCTATTTTCAGGAATTTTTGCGATTTTCAGGAATTTTTGCGATTTTTGCAATTTTCATGATTTTTTGCGATTTTGCAATTTTCAGGCATTTTCGCGATTTTTGCAACTTTCATGATTTTTTGCGATTTTTGCAATTTTCAGGAATTTTTGCGATTTTCGCCAATTTTCAGGAATTTTTGCGATTTTTGCAATTTTCAGGAATTTTTTGCGATTTTTGCAATTTTCAGGAATTTTTGCGATTTTTGCAATTTTCAGTCATTTTTGCGATTTTTGCAATTTTCAGGAATTTTTTGCGATTTTTGCAATTTTCAGGAATTTTTGCGATTTTGCAATATTCAGTCATTTTTGCGATTTTTGCAATTTTCAGTCATTTTTGCGATTTTTGCAATTTTCAGGCATTTTTGCGATTTTTGCAATTTTCAGGAATTTTTGCGATTTTTGCAATTTTCAGGAATTTTTGCGATTTTTGCAATTTTCAGGAATTTTTGCGATTTTTGCAATTTTCAGCCATTTTTGCGATTTTTGCAATTTTCAGGAATTTTTGCGATTTCTGCAATTTTCAGTCATTTTTGCGATTTTTGCAATTTTCAGGAATTTATGCGATTTTTGCAATTTTCAGGAATTTTTTGCGATTTTTGCAATTTTCAGCCATTTTTTGCGATTTTTGCAATTTTCAGGAATTTTTTGCGATTTCTGCAATTTTCAGTCATTTTTGCGATTTTTGCAATTTTCAGTCATTTTTGCGATTTTTGCAATTTTTCAGGAATTTTTGCGATTTTTGCAATTTTCAGCCATTTTTGCGATTTTTGCAATTTTCAGGAATTTTTGCGATTTCTGCAATTTCAGTCATTTCTGCGATTTTTGCAATTTTCAGGAATTTATGCGATTTTTGCAATTTTCAGGAATTTTTGCGATTTTTGCAATTTTCAGGCATTTTTGCGATTTTTGCAATTTTCAGTCATTTTTGCAATTTTCAGGCAATTTTTGCGATTTTTGCAATTTTCAGTCATTTTTGCGATTTTTGCAATTTTCAGTCATTTTTGCGATTTTTGCAATTTCAGGCATTTTTGCGATTTTTGCAATTTTCAGGCATTTTTGCAATTTTTGCAATTTTCAGGCATTTTTGCGATTTTTGCACTTTTCAGGAATTTTGCGATTTTTGCAATTTTCAGGAATTTTTGCGATTTTTGCAATTTTCAGGAATTTTCGCGATTTTTTGCAATTTTCAGGAACTTTTGCGATTGTTTCAATTTTCAGGAATTTTTGCGATTGTTTCAATTCTCAGGAACTTTTGCGATTTTTGCAATTTTCAGGAATTTTTGCGATTTTTGCAATTTTCAGGAATTTATGCGATTTTTGCAATTTTCAGGAATTTTTGCGATTTTTGCAATTTTCAGCCATTTTTGCGATTTTTGCAATTTTCAGGAATTTTTGCGATTTCTGCAATTTTCAGTCATTTTTGCGATTTTTTGCAATTTTCAGTCATTTTTGCGATTTTTGCAATTTTCAGGAATTTTTGCGATTTTTGCAATTTTCAGCCATTTTTGCGATTTTTGCAATTTTCAGGAATTTTTTGCGATTTCTGCAATTTTCAGTCATTTCTGCGATTTTTGCAATTTTCAGGAATTTATGCGATTTTTGCAATTTTCAGGAATTTTTGCGATTTTTGCAATTTTCAGGCATTTTTTGCGATTTTTGCAATTTTCAGTCATTTTTGCAATTTTCAGGCATTTTGCGATTTTTGCAATTTTCAGTCATTTTTGCGATTTTTGCAATTTTCAGTCATTTTTGCGATTTTTGCAATTTTCAGGCATTTTTGCGATTTTTGCAATTTTCAGGCATTTTTGCAATTTTTGCAATTTCAGGC